CGTGTCATCATAACAATATTACATCCTACTTATATTAGAATCTTTTTTGTTTGTTTTTTTTAAGTTTAATTCATTTAAACATATAGGTTATGTTATAACTCTCTCAAAACTCGTATAGACAAAATTACAAAGATTTCAGATTAAATTAATAATAAAAACCAAAAGCACAAAGAAACTCAATTAATAAAGGTACTTTTAGTCTCAAAATGCAAAAAAAACTCTGTAATTTTGTGAGTGAGTTTGAGTAAAGTAGTTGAACAATTCTTTAAATGACTCTCACGTCAATCTACTAATAATTCACTAGGTTTTTTAATAGAGGGACCCCGAAATAAGCCCCCTGTACATCGTTAAGATGTTTTTTTTTATATATACAGAGTCACCCACAAAATACCCAACAATAAATTAGTATATTTTTCTAAATAGTTTATCTAATATATCTATTTATCAAAAAATACCCAAGTTTTGGGATTTTGTGAGCAACACTGTACAACTTAATTGCAAGATATCGATATATTTTTGTTTCTTTGCTATTTGGATCGATAACAACTTAAAGAACGAACGAGAACCTACACACAGACAATGTTTTCTAAAAATAAAAATTAAGATAGCTATAAACAATGAAAACACAAAACGAACTTAAGAATATTAATAATAAAATTCCATTTTTTTTTAATCCTAAAACGTATCGACTATATGAACACTGTTTACCCGTTTTTAGACTCCTTACAATTATTTTTCATATATATTTTTATTTAAACACAGGGTGTATGTGAAAGATTTTCACAAAATTCTAACATGCATATTCCTGAAGTTGAAATAAATGACAGATTAACCTAAATCATAACTTTTTGTGTAGAAAATTAAAATTACAGTGAATTTGGCGGCAACACTGCAAGACTCTGACGACGTTGTAATAAATTTCAGTAGAATATTCCTGCGGCACCAAAAAGTTTTTTAAAATCTCCAAAAAAAACGCCAAAAAAAATCTACAAAGTTGGGTTAAGTTGCCATAGTATCTTATCTACAGGAATATGCGAAAGATTTTGCGCTGAACGGTTTCAGGAACACCCTGTACACGTATATAAATAATCCTAAAAGGAACATTCGATCTTATTTTCGAAGAGCATAGACTAATTTTAGACCTACATAATAATATGACTATTGTTAACGTGCGTTTAAAAAAAGCTTATATTATGCTTATAAAAGCGAGGGATATGTAATTTACGTATAAATAAAATAAATCTTACATAACGTTTCTTTAAAATCCACTTAAAATTAAATTATGTATAAAGGCAAAAAACAATAAATAATTTCTATGAGTAAAAGTTAAAATAGCGGGGATGGGTTTGAGTTAAAATTAAATTAAAAAATACTTCTTAAAGTACACATAAATTTATCTTATACGTCTAAAAAATATGTGCCTTACTCTCTAAACCTTACGTCTATGCTGATCAGTTTTTGTTTTCTAAAATTATATTAAGATACTTGCTTTTAATATTATATTATGTTGGACATGAATTTTACATACATAACACATTATTTAACTATGTATTTAATAATAAAAATACACAAGGTGTCCACCAAAAATATAGCCATTTTGACAAACGCAAAATATTATTTTTAAATCATAAAATTTTGCGAAAAAAAAACGGTGTCAAGATAGCCGCTGAAGTGATAACCAATGAGGTTTCTGACGGGAAAACCTCTACAGGATTTGTCTTAAATAAGTGCAAATATTTTAGGGGTAGTATATTTCGACCCCATACAAGAAAGAAACACTAGAAAAGATCCAGTGATTCCCAAAATTTAAGCGAAAACATTTTTTTTTAAATTTTCAAAGTAAAATATCTCAGTTATTTGAAATATAACTTATAAACACACAAATATGCAGAATGTGCGTAATATAGGATGTGGCAACACTGCAAGGCTTCGACCCCATACAAGAAAGAAACACTAGAAAAGATCCAGTGATTCCCAAAATTTAAGCGAAAACATTTTTTTTTAAATTTTCAAAGTAAAATATCTCAGTTATTTGAAATATAACACACAAATATGCAGAATGTGCGTAATATAGGATGTGGCAACACTGCAAGGCTTCGATACATCGTCATGAAATTTCAGGAGAATGAAACTGTGGCATTAAAAAGTTTTTTTAAAATATTTTCTGGGTCCAAACTATGATTTACGATAATTTAAAATACTTCTAGCGCTTATTTAGAAGACAGTCTGTATTAATAAATATTACTGAAAGAAAAAAAAAGATACTTTTTTTTTATGAAGTAAGGGCAAATAGTTTTGGGGACACCCTGCACATAAAAAAGGTACGTTTTGTGTGCTCATTGTTCTCGATTTGAACTTGGTGAAAGATACAGGATAGAGTCAAGAGAAGGGACATGTTCCTTTAAATCCTATCTCAATATTTCTAACTCTCCTAACTATGTATATGTATTTTAGTTTAATATTTTTTTATCTATATCAGACTTAATATTATATATATTTTACCATTTAATAAATTAAAAAGAATTATATACGAATATATATAAATATGTATAAACCAAAAACAAAAAATTACACCTAGGCATTTCCAAGCTTAATATGAAAACTCTGCTTCACACTCATATATAAATATACATTAGATCGATCTTATATTATCATCATATATATCAAACAATAAATACAGTAAAAATCAGTAATTAGTCTATTTTGTTTTCCTTATCGTGTTTTTGAGCAAGATACTGTTAAGTTAGAACTCTCTTTTTTCTCTAATTAATTTAAAATATAGGCTGGAGATCGGTCAGTGAGAGATGCGACATAAAACACATATCTAGGACAGCACTAACAGTTGATTTTCATTTTATATAATTATATTTTATTTGTTTTGGACCCTTTTATAAAAAGGATAACCTAAACTTAAAATTACCTATAATATTTATACTAAATCACAAGTATATATACTTAAATTTGATTTTATTCTATATTTTACCTATGTATTATATATAATTAATATAAATATAACGTTTAGTAGGTTATTTTTTATTTCTAGATCATATAAAATAATGTGGATAGATTTTAAACCCACTATGTTGTCAACATATTTAACAATGTTTACAAGGTGGATCTTAAACATTTTGAGAACGGCTGTTCTCAATCTATGTGACGTCCTGTGTTGCCACATGGACAAGGATGTGTTAACTTGATTGAAAATAATCTGCAATTATTTTTAAGATTTATTCTTTTAGTTTAGTTGAAAATAACTGTAAAAATGCTTTACTCTGTATTAAAGAAATAAGTACAGGGTGTTTCTGGAGAGGTACAAAGATGAAGTTTTCAAATTATTTTGCTACATTTTTATGTAACTAAAGATACTACACTGATTTCTCCTAGGCCTCATAGTTCCTAAAATACAGGGAGAATTTGAAATTGCTGCACTTTTCAACCCTCTTTGTATCTCGGTTATCTTATAACTTATCAAAAAGGTGAAAACTGAGTCTTGTAGTGTTTTTTGCTGGGAGAATATGACCCAAACTTACGTTTTTTTAATGGGATACCCTGTATATTATGCCAAACCAAACCAAGATACAAGGAGGTCGAAAAATAGAACATTTTCAAATTCTTCTTGTGTTTCCAGAACTAAGAGGGTGAGGAAAAATATGCCTGTAGCATCTTTAGTTTCATAAAAAATGTGGCAAATTAATATGAAAACCGCCACCTTCAATCAAATTACTATGAACTTATAAATAAATAAATATGCAGAATGTAAGTAAAGCAGGACGTGGCAACGCTGCAAGGCTTCAATACACCGTCACAAATTACCTATAACAGATGCGAAAGAAAGCGACTGCATCGGAAACCGCTCGGCAAACCCCACACGCCTATTGAGTGGTGTAAATACACCAGTCGTTTAGTCCGGAAACCTATGCTGTGTCGTATTCGCTTGCTGGAATGACATAGTGCGTGGTTATATGTTTCTTTTTAAAAACGTGTGTAGGATTTTGTTGAACTTATGAACTGTTATTTCTAAGTTTTGGTAATTTGTATATCTTATTTAAAATGGGATACAAATGTGTTTATTTATAAGGAAAAAAAAAGATATTTATTGTATAAAAAATTAATTTATTTAACAAAATTTAATTAAAAATGTGACAAAATAGTACCTTTCTATTGGTTCTATCGGACTTTTTTCGACTATATAAATCTTTATTTGTAAACTTTAATACATCAAATATTTTCAATCTAATAAATCATTTAATGATGTAAATAAGAGGAAATTTCTCACATGGGTGGTCAAATTCTATAGTTTTCATTATATCAAACAGCCTCTGAGAAATGTTTTCAACTCAAAATGGCCTTTAATTATGTTTGACTACATCAATTAAAAGGGTCTTCCATACATCAATGTGATATTTGTCTAAAATTTGCAAAAGAATCCGAATCTCTGGATAACTCGAAATTATTTACCCATTTAAAAGCCTTTGATCATGAAAGTGGAAAAATTTGTTCATTTTATTTACTGGAAATGGAAAAATTATTTATATTAAATTTTGATGAGTTTTGCACTGAAGAAAACATTCAGAGGCTGTTTGATATAATGAAAACTATAGAATTTGACCACCCATGTGAGAAATTTCCTCTTATTTACATCATTAAATTATTTATTAGATTGAAAATATTTTATGCATTAAAGTTTACAAAAATAAAGATTTATATAGTCGAAAAAGTCCGATAGAACCAATAGAAAAGTAACTATTTTGTCACATCTTTAATTAAATTTTGTTACATAAATTAATTTTTTATACTACAAATATCTTTTTTTTCCTAATCTCCTACGAACTGATATAATATGACGAGCAATCTATTAAATTACTGTGAGATTATATGCCTCGATAACATATTGGTGCAGATTATTTTCACCCAAACAATACATTGATGCGGATTGTCTATGAACTCTTTCTGAAGGTTACAGAAACCTGAACGCGTAATTCGGTGTTCTTTCGCATCTGTTGTGACACCGTCAAGAAATTTTGGGAGGATGAACCTGCAACTCTAAAAGCTTTTTAATTTCTCGAAAATGTCACAAAAACGCAAATTTTAACAAATTTTTCGCCAAAAAACTTCACAGGCTCGCAATATACAGAGGACATAAGACATCCTGTACCTAAGAATCATTTGTTTGTAGTTAATTCAGAGAAAAACTCACAAAATTCAAACTTAGTAATTTTTTAAAATAAATTTAAATATTGACAACACAGCAACATTGCAAATCTTCATAAGGCATCGACGTAAACCCACACCATTTTATACCACCAAGAATATGTCTCTCCCCTGACCGATTTCACTCTTTTTCACTTAAAATCTATTTCGCTACATCATCAAAAATTGCACTATTAATAAAAAGGCCTTCGTCTTCATCTCTTAAGTTTTGTTTTCGGCAATTAAACTTTAATAAGTAATTATCATCGAATTCATATCTTTAAGAGTATAATTTAAAACTTATTCAAGTAATTTAAATATATTATGTTATTGTTTCGCTGTACATCAGTCAAATTTGGATCTTACTTCAACTAGTATGTTTTACTCTCTTTAATTCTTTACACTAACAAGGTCGATAATAATAATGATAATAACTATTTTATTTCTTAATCAAAAATTTCCTCTTACTTAAAATTACCGTTTATATCCTCGTTTTTGACACAAAAAATCAAACTTAAAACAGAGACTTTACTCTAAAACCTATTATACATCTAAAGTAAAATTATATAATAAGTATGCATGTATATTAATATATTCGTGTGGTATATATATGATTTTAGGGGTTTTAATAAAATTTTCCGATAAATAAAATATTTTTTTATACTCCACACGCCCCATCTATTAACTAGATTCGTTCAAAGTGAAAAAAAAATGTGCACGTATATAATAGCTTTAATATCAAGTTTTTTTTAAACGTCTAAATACTTGTGTTGTATTTATTTACAGCAAATCATAATAGATACACCCACCGCATAAGAAAGTTCATTATTTTTGGTCTAATAACAATACATGTTCTATAACTATTATTTTGGATTGTCATAATAAAGAAAAAAAAACACTTCTACAAAGAATTGAATTTCCTAGAGAATTTATTTTTGTTAAGCGGGCTGGATCCGTCTCTGCGGTCACGTAAAAACCCACTCCAGTGCCGGACTCTGACAGAATTCCGATCCTGTTAATACATTATTAAACTTAATAAACAGAAAAAAACAACGTCAACGTTTGTGTTTGTTTTACTTATGAATTTTACGACGCACAGACACGATTTTACAGGGCGGGACTTAGGACACGCTAGAGCCTTATTACTATAAGTAAAGAGTTCGATATATATTTTATATTCCATTTAGATACAATAATAATTAATTATTCTCTGAACAAAAAAAATCTATTTTATTTTAACATAGATCACAACCACATAAGTCCGTTTATAGTTTTATATTTTCTCTATTTAAATTAATACTATTATTTAAGTTTACCATTAAACTAAGCTTTATAGAATTAGGAGAATAAATTAAAAAAAATATGGACAACAATATAAAAGAGGAGTATAATAATTTTAAAATGAACTAATAACAAAAAACGAAGATGTTTTTTTTCTCTCAGTCTTTTATAAGCTAACAATTATAAACATGTAACAACATCTTATCAGGCTAATAATATAAAAAAAAAGAATCTACTATATTAAAAAAAAGCGAAAAAAAAAAAAGATTCATACCTAAAATTATATAACAGCCCAAAATTTACTAGGATAAGACAGTACGTTATATAAACCTTATAATAACATATAGCTACAATTTATAGTAAGCAGTGGTTGTGTACTATTTAGTTTTTTCTATATTATATACAAGAAAATTAGTCAAAAACCAGGTACGTACTTGGCAGAAAAAAAAATGAATTTATTAAAATAATAATAAGAAAGCCAAGTAAGGACCTGCGTAAGTGTTCTCCCCTCCCGTGAAACACATTTGCCCCCAATCCGTAGTTTTTAAAATTACCTTAAGTATTATTTTACCTAAAAATTTAATGTACATACAAACGAATGGACGATTTTTATATGGTACTATTTAAAAATTTGTTTTTCAGGAATTCATACAATATTAGCATAAAATTGAATTAAAAAAATGACTTAACACCTAAAAAATTAAACTCTTCACTAAGCTAAGTTAATTTATTCAAATTCCTTATAATTGTGCATAAAAATGATAAAAAAATACAATAAACTTCTAGTGGAGTGGGGGAAAACGCGTTAAAAAAGTAGGGGGAGTATTTTTGTTCCCCTAAACTTATAATTGTAGTCTAGTCCGTAAGATATGAGGTATTTTCTTATCATTTGCCTTAAAAATGAGGTTAAATTTTACACTAATTCGAATAATAGTCATTAAAAAACGATTAGTGTAAAAGTTTCGCGTCTCTACACCTTATTTAAACAATTACGCACTTATTAGAAATTAGTTCAACAATATTTTTGACGTTTCAAAACGCATTAAACGTGTTTAAACGCCGTAATACTTAAAAATAGTCAACGCGGCTGCGCGGTGCGTCCCTGCGTCTTCGACGTTGCCACCTCCTCCCCTAATAAAACTATTTCAATTAATTACTTTTACTGATTATCAGGTACTATTAACATAAAGCTAAAGAACCTTACCCACTAATAAAACGTCACTATAAGATTTCTCATTTCCATTTATCATTATTATTATTATTATACACATACATTTATATTTTATTTATATATAATAAACTATATTATTTAAACGGTAGTACACGAATATCGGTGTTAAAACACTTTTTCTCTGGTATATAATTTTTTCTATATAATATCCGGGTTTCCCGAGGAATTTGAGGAGCCGGCAACGTCGCATAAGCCTGATGGATCGTGTCTGTGCGTCGTGGCGCGTCGAGATGGCTGCGGTGGTCCACGTCATCGATATAAATAGAGCATAACCTTACTTTTTTTTCGTTACAAACCTAGCGCATTGTTACAATTATACTTCGACATACCCCTAGTTTTTTTTCTTTCTATATTTTGTCGTTTGGTTTAGTTCGATCGTATTGATTAGATTTTTTAGAAAAATAGTGAAAAAAATGAGGTTAAGTACGTTGAAAAGGAAGTCTCTAATAATATATAGACTTAACCTAAATTAATTAGGAAAATATTATTATTAGCACATTAATTTATTTAGTAATGTAGCACAAAAAACATTTTAGTAGTGTAAAATCTACTAGTGTAAAGATATAACGTTTAATATCTACTGAATTATTTTTTTTGTATATTGGCGATAGCAAATAAACTTTTGGTTACGTCATCAAGGGCGCGATTATTAAATTGGTGCCACATTTATCTATTTATTTAGTGATATTGTCATTCGTCTTGACACTTAAGTTTTGTATTACGAGTTTTTGGTTTAAGTGAATTATATTGCGATATCTTAAGATTATTTTTTTTACCAGCAGACCTTTTAGTGCGAAATGTCTAAGATGCCTAAGCAGCTTAACAACCGTTGCAAAAAACTCATCGCAACTTTGTTGAAAGCGATTATAATGACCCTTAAATCCTGTAAATTCATTTTTGTTTCTTAAAATATTTCGAATAAAAGAAAATATGTAAAAGTGGGCAACGCTGTGACGGTCAAGCTTAATCACGTGACTAAAAGTTTATTTGGTTTGATCTACAGTATGTTCCCGGAGAGGAAACACTTATTTATTGTTGATATTTTGAGAAAAATGCATTCTTCATAAAAAAAATTTCTTGTTCTAAAATGGCTAATTTCGTTTATACTTTTTCAAATTTCCCATACTGTTTCAGAGAAAATTAAGAAAAACAAGACCCAAAAATCAAAACGCGTTTCTATGGTTATATAATTTCGATTTCATTCTTTAATAGATGGTTGGTTAGCGTCATATTCTTTGCTGTTGTTAAAGTATTATATTTTCCGATAATTATTATCATCACCCTTACCGTAGCGTTGAACTAAATATATTTTGTACTTCTTTAACATCTTAAAACAGCAAAAAATATTACGTTAATTAAAATTATACAAGGTGTCCCAGAAATAAGTGCAAGCATTTTAACTGGTAGTATAGTTCAACCCCAAAAACACGCCTATGAGGTTTTTTCGCAAAAAAATTGAAAATTCGGAATATTTTGGGAAAAAAATGTTGATTTTTTTTTAGTTTTTAGTTAAAAAACATAATTTCGTGACAATATGGCAACATAGGTAGTAGATTAAATTTTCAAGAAAGAAAATCCAGAAAAGACCCAGTTGTTCTCAAACTTTGAACAAAAAATCATTTTTTGGAAATTTTCAAAGTAAAATAACTCCGTTATTTCGGACTTATTTGAAAGACGATAAAGAGAAAATATGTGTCTTTTATAGAGATCTACCTTCCCTTAAAATACTTGCACTTATTTCTGGGACACCCTGTATTATGAATAACAATCTATCAAAGAATGAAAGCGAATTTGTATTACCACAGAAACGCGTTTTGGCTTTTAGGACTTTTTTAGGGTATGGAAATTTGAAAAAGTATAAACGAAATAAACCATTTTAGAACAAGCAAAAATTTTATGAAGAATGCATTTTTCTCAAAATGTCAATAATAAAAAAGTTTTTCCTCTTGTAAAGACAATCCGGAAACACACTGTATAGTTATAAGCCATAAGAACCTAGGCAGAAACAATCAACCAACGACCGAACCAACCCGACCCGACAAAAAACCAAACCGAAAAAAAAAATAAAAATAAACTTGTTTGTGTTAATAATCGTAATATTAAACATGCCGCGACGTGCGCATGCCCGCTAGCATTGCGCACGTCCCCATCAGTGCGACAGCTCGACCACCGCCGCCCTGATGGCGACGGTGGCCTGGTGGCCGCCCTGATCGAGCACAGTAGGTTGTCATGAGGCGGGCCACTCCTTGAAGTCGCCAAAGTGTTTCGCACCTGCGCCGGCGCCGGGCGGCTGGCTGCTGTAGCCGCCCGCCGCGCCCGTGTCCGAGTACTGGGCGGCGCTCCTGCCCTGGTAGTCGCCGTAGCTGCCGTAGGCGGAGCCGTAGGAGGCGGGGCCGTAGTCGCTGCCAGGCTTGGAGGCGGAGCCGCCGCTGGGACCGGTGCCGGGCGGTCCGGAGGGCGTGCCGCCGGCGGACTGGCCGGCGGCGCGCGAGTACACGTCGCCCGCCATGTAGCCTGTGGGCAGAGGAGAAGAGGTGGGGTGAGCGAAGCGGACGTGGCCTGTCCGGTGAAAAAGGCGCGGCTTTGGCGTGGGGGGAGGTGCGTAGGGTTCGAAGGAGGCGTACGTTCGTAAAAACGGGGGACGAAACACAATAAAACCAAAAAGTATACATTTCTTACACCGATATTTTCAATTAAAAGTACAGCGTTTTCATTTTATTTTCCTCAGATTTAACTGGCTATAAGTTTAAAAAGAAAATTATAGGATTTTAATCAAGATTTATTAGCAAAAATGTCATACGTAGCGGTATAATTTTAAACCTTGACATTTTTATATGTTTATATACAGGGTTGTTCACCACATACGACACGGAGTATTGTAGCTAAACGATTAGATTTTTACAAATTTTAAGTTTTGGGTTCGTTGAAGCACTATTAGAGCTACAATTTAGAAATAATTTTAGATGATACAGAGTGTCCCAAATAAGTAAAAAATGCTATAGTTGTATTTTTTAAAATGGAACACCCTGTATATTATTCTATTTTTAGATTCTTCGATTGAAATAAAGGTAAATTTTATTAAGGTTTATCACACTTAAACCTTACCGTTTTTGAAATATTTTCAATTTTGTGAAATTCCAGTAAAAATTTTTAGGCTTCATTTCTCCAAGGGTATCAAAGTTTTTAATACTAAATATTTACCGAAGTTTATTTATTGATCAGTTATTGTGTTGCAATAATAATAATTATACTACCTTATACAGAGTGTCTAAAATTTTATTTTAAATAATTACTAGCTTTAAACGGCAATAACTTGTTTAATTTAAATGGAACGCCCTGTAAATTTTCGGAGAATTAGATGCATAATTTAATTGTCTATCAAATTGTATTATACCACTTTTTACCTATCCCTTCAAGTTTTCGTAGAAAATGCATTTTCTTATAATTTAAAGCTCATTTATCAATATACCCATGGAATATTGACATTTTAGATTGTTTTTAAAGCAACAAATGTACAAAATGTACAGGCTAGCCCATTTCTATGCAAAAAGAAAACTATTTAAATCTTCATAAAAGAGTATACCATTAAGTAATACCACCATTATTTCCGCCCAAATACTAATTAATTACATACTTAATTATGTTCGTGAATAAATTATTCTAAATAAATGTGGATTTGAATCAGAAATCAATATAATAATAAGTTATGAAAATGAATGTCTCTGTTGTTACAAATAAGCATTTGTCAAAAAATGAAATATTATTTTTAAGGTGTTACTTTTTACCACATTGTCTAATACACATAAAAAATTCAGTTTTTTGAGCAATTATTATTAATCAACGCAAAAAGTCAATTCATGTAGTTTGAATACTGGAATCATATTAATTGGTCCTCTTTAACAAATATTTAAACAGTTTTTTTTTATTTTTTAATGAAATAAACAAATTATATCGACAATATTAGTATCTGTACTCTTTATAAATTTGGTACATCTTTAGAAATAATCTAAAATGTCAGTATTCCATGGGTATATTGATAAATGAATTTAAAATTACAAGAAAATGCATTTTCTGCGGAAACTTGAAGCTGTAGGTAAAAAATGGTATAATACAATTTGATAGACAATTAAATTGTGCATCTGATTCTCATAAAATATACAGGGTGTTCCATTTAAATTAAACAAGTTATTGCCGTTTAAAGCTAGTAATTATTTAAAATAAAATTTTAGACACTCTGTATAAGGTAGTATAATTATTATTATTGCAACACAATAACTGATCAATAAATAAACTTCAGTAAATATTTAGTATTAAAAACTGTGATACCCTTGGAGAAATGAAGCCTTAAAACTTTGACTGCCATTTCACAAAATTGAAAATATTTCAAAAACGGTAAGGTTTAAGTGTAATAAACCTTTATCAAATTTACCTTTATTTTAATCGTAGAAACTAAAAATGTAATAATATACAGGGTGTTCCGTTTAAAAAAATACAACTTTGATATTTTTTATTTATTTGGGACACTCTGCATCTTGTAAAAACATTCTTAAATTGTAACTCTAATAGTCCTTCAACGAATCCAAAACTTACAATTTGTAAAAATTTAATCGTTTAGCGACAATACTCCGTGTCGTATGTGGTGAACAACCCTGTATAATAAGTATAATTTTTTAAATAAGGTATTCTTAAATATTAAGTGTATTAGATAGTACATTTTTTTACCTATTTTTATTTGCCGGGTGCGTCTAAAAACTAGTTCACTCCAACAACTTTATTTTTTCAGATAAAAAAAACGAGATTTAGTTATGTTAGTGTATTCTGACCTATTCAATTGTTTTTGATCACTTCCTATTTCACCGGAAATGACTACAACTTTTGATTTTTAAATGGCACCCTCGGTATATTTTTCCTTTATTCGATAGAAAATGACGTATCATATGTAAACTTTTGACATTTTCGTTTAAAAACAAATCGTATTTTAAATTTCAATCTAGAGTAACATGGCTGTGTTAAAAATACTAATTTTTAACCAAGGAACCTTGGAAAAATAGATTTGATCGTCTAATGTTTTTCGTGTCTTGTCCCGGCCGATTAAAAGATGCCTAAATCGTATTTTTAATAATTTCTCAATTTTTTCAAATGGAACAAAGGTGACTCATTAGGAATATTTGGAAAAGGTATTTTTTTACGAATAATTTGGTTTGGTTTGGTTTGGCAAAAAACAATTGAATAGGTCAATCAATCCTAATTTATGGCATATACTGCCATACCAAATCTGGAAAAATAAAAAAATTAGAGGTGAGCCACTTTTGAGACGCACCCGGTATACCCATTGAGGAATATTGTAGATATAATTCTGGTAAATAACTGGTATATTCCTGGAATTTTATCACTTAAAAATAGGACAAAATAAAATGAAAGCACTGTACAGCAGACGTATTGTAAAAAGAAGAAAAACAAACACTTTTAATTGAAAATAACGTTGTTTCAAAACTAAAAAAAGAAAATTAATTCAAACCACAACAAAGCCAAAAAAAAGACAAAACGGTTAATTAAAAACTTGCTTTATTTTATCTCTTTCTACGAGCATCTATTACTTAAATCCACTACTACATTAAAAATAAAATACATCCAACAAAATAATATTATAAACATCAGACGCACATTTCGAGGTTAAATCAAGTCGACAGTGCCGCCATCTTACGTCCAATCCGTTATATTACTACTAAAACATTATATTATATTAATTATAGCCTTAATAAAGTAATACACTAAACCTCTCTTGGAATGATGTGTAATATAAAGAGCAGTTAGAATATATACATAATTCTATAATTGCACTATGTCTATATCTAGTAATTAATAAGTTTAAAAAAAATCACTAATTCTAAGCTAAAAAGAATAATTTAATTTAAATTATAAAAACAAGTCGAATTGATCTAAAAATATGTTTATTTTATTTTTATTCGCTAAGCTATAGCGATTTGGATCACAGGTTGTCACGAACTGCCGTAAGATGGCGCCATCGTCGAACTGTCAAACGCGCTCGCTTGCTTGAGGTGGGGCACGAGAAACGACGCAAAACGTCGAAACACTGCTGGGAAACAAAATCGAAGAAAAAAAATACAGAAAAATTACACAAAGTAAAGTTTTAATTGAATTAAATTAAAATTAACAGCTTCTCTGTAGAATAATATATATTTCGCACTTACAGAAACAAAGTAATGTATAAGATAGTTTATAAGATCTAAAACTTCATTCAGAACCTCGTGAATTAGTGGGATAAATTAGTGGTTTCAATCATACTTTATACTTATGAGTTTACAATCATTCACAATGTTTTAAAAAATACAATTAAAAGTAATTAGGATATTCTAGCAACAGCTTGCGGCAGTCAGTTGTATCCATAGAGAAATTCTAATAATTGCCTTATAAATATATATCGCTATGTTGGTGACATTGCGCCGTGTTCAGCAACGTTGTCGTTTATTATTTGACAATCATCCTAATGTCACACATTATTTTGTATAATGTCGTGTTGTTCAATCTTTGTGAGTAATTTTCTTTTTTGCCTATGTTCATAGTCTTTCTTTTAAATTGTACTTTTAAGCACAAACAGTTCTCTTAAGAACTAAATTTTCGAGTTTTGCTATTGTATTTCTTGAAATTGTGTGTTGAAAATATGCCGAAGCATTTAAACAGTCCAAGCAAAGAACTTGTAGCTTCCCTGAAAAACTATTTTGAACGAGAACGTGACAATTATTATTACCCTTGACTGCAGTCAAAGAAGTAAGTTTGATTGATAAGCACATTATACCACATCTCATAAATCCATCACAATCTGGCAGCGCTGTCGCCATCGCTTGTCACTCAGAGTTGATCACGTGCATCGGAAATTGTTTTGCGATTACCGTATAATTATTATCAAAAGTTTGTTAATGTTTTTCCACAACTTCGAGGTTCTGAATGAAGCTTAAAAGAAAGAAAGTAATGTTTTTTCTTCGAAAACCTTTCCCAATTGATAATTTCGCGCACTCAGGGTCAAAAACAATAAAGAATCGCCTTAAAAAGAGAGGAAAACGGGAAAAAGGGGGGCGTATCTCGTGAGGGGGCGTGTCACGAGATACCGTCACGCCTCCGCGCCTCAGAAGAGAGGCGTGTCCTCGCCCCCGAGCCCCGCCATCGCCGTCTGCATGGCCACGTCCGCTCCGTTCGCCGTTAATACCCTAACACACCTACCGGAGGGGCCTGAGGAGCCGCTGTTTTGCGGCATGTTCCAGCTGTTCCAGGAGGCGGCGCCACTGCCTGCGAGGGACCCACATTTGGTATTTTGTACGACTTACAATGTACTTATATAGAAAGAGGTTGAGACTAACCAGTCCTGGTCGATTTTTAACTGAAGGAGATGTTCGTCTTAGATCAAACAGTTTATAACAATCTGTAAGAGGTATTCCGCCACTGCAAGAAAATCTACAAAATAAAATAGTTATTTTTTGTAAACGCATTGTCAGCAATTTGCCTAACGAACAGAAAAATGCTTAACGTTTCGGAAAGTTTATCTCCTTTCATCGTCGGAAGCAAAAAAAAATACAAAGAATAAAGAAAAAAAATATTTAAAATATTTATATGCAATTACTCGAAAACACTTTAGTTTTTTTAAAGCAGATGCGTCTACAAAAACCGTTGACGTTCTGTTAAAATGACATTATGTCAAGTTAAACTTCAAAATTAACAATTACTACATGAAAACAATTACTTATAAGGTAAAACCAGAAAGCTTCAAACTTTCTGTATGATTATTTTTAATTTTTATGTATGATAAGTTTATTTATGTTATGTTCTTTAAAATCAAAGAAGCAATTAATATACATTACTAACATCTACATTTTAAGCATTTTTTTGTTTGTTAGGCAAATTTGTTTATTGGTAGACCACTGCTGACAATTAGTGTTTACAAAAAATAACTATTTTATTTTGTAGATTTTCCTGCAGTGGCGAAATACCCATATAGGATTTTTTTGGAGATACTGACAGTTATATAGCTTCCAATATCAAGCATTTGAGCTGACAGCATAGAAAATATTTTAACAGAAATGTAAGTCTACTAAATTGTATTATAAAATTTTTGGTACCAAAACTATTGACAGGCTGTTATAAACGGTTTTTAAATAGGGGATGACAAGAACTAAGAAATTATTATTAAATTAAAAAAGTTTACAAAATATACAGGGAGTCTCTTAAATACAGGCAAGTATTTTTTAAACAAAAAAAAATCTACTTACGATTTTGAAATTTAAAAAAAATTGTTTACATTTTGAAAACCGCCGAATCCCAGATTATTCCACGCCTTATGTTGCCATATCGTCAACAAGAAAGTACACACTCAAGTTGATTGAAAATACTTTGTAATATAACAAGAGAGTATTAAAAATAAATAAGATTTTTTTTCAGTTTAGTTGAAAATAACCATAAAAATGCAGTGCGTATCTCTAAAATAATATTGATAATACCACTGGTACAATTAAAATTAATGTTCGTAATTTTTTTATGTTTAAAAAATAAAATTACTGTGAACTTATGAACGCATAAATATGTAGAACGTGGGAAATGTAGGAGGTGGCAACACTGCAAGACTTCAATACATCATTAGGGCTGTATTCCGTTGTAAAATCAGACCGGTAAAGGAATGTAGCCTGAAAAACATCGGTTTGATACGGAACGGTTTGGAAAAATGCTGGAAACGTCAAATGTTGACATTTACTAAATGTCAATACCTCTATTATAAAATTTATCTTGCATTTTTAATGTACCTATTCTCTGCTTTTACGTTTGCTTCTTTTTTTTAATGGAGTTTAATATTGAAAAGTACTTTATTAATAAACTGTTAAACTCGTTAGACAGCTCAAGTTAAGATTTGCAGGTCCAATATTAAAACAGATCAATAATAAATAAACAAATATAATCAACATTTATATTTTTATAGCATTCACGATTACTTGTCTTGTTTTTCATGTTTTCTTTAAATGTTCCTGACTTTCAGAAACAATGGAAACAACGTAAGCAACGGAATACACCCTCAGAAATTTTAGCAGAATGAACCTGTGGCACTAAAAAGTTTCTTTAAATTTTTTCAAAACATGCCAAGAAAAAAATTCATGGGTTTATTATCCAGTAAAATACCTGCATTTATTAAGAAACCCCCTGTAGACAATCTGTAGATCTCATTTACCTAAAACGACCTAAGGAACATCATCTCCAAGTCATAACCACAACCATATTAACCATAATTCATTTCATGATTGGACAAAGTTCATTTCGTCAAAGAATATAAACACACAGGACTCGGTGTCATGTCAGTTGCATAACTCGTAATCCATATATTTATATTCTTTCAACTAAATAGGACTTCGTCGATACAAAAACTTCGCTCTGGTGAAACTTACCGTACGAGCCGTATCCTTGCTGAGCCGGGGGACCGCCGTAACTGTTACCCCATTGAGGTGGAGGCCCTTGAGGCGCCGGCGGAGCTCCCCAGCCCTGGTAGGACCCGGGGCCCGAAGGCGTACCGTAGCCGGCGTTGTACTGCTGTTGCGGAGACGTTCCCCAACCCTAAAATACGTTTGCTAGTCAATAATAACCCCAAAAATTATTGATGAAAAATAGTCCTAAAAAGAATTTTGCTCAATAATATCACCAACATTTTTAGTAGTTTTACAAACAACTAAAAATGAACTTAATAATCATATTTAAGGAATGTGGTTAAGTAAATGGTTATCGAACTCAAATTTTGGGGTTAGAAAATTAAATTGAAAGTTTTTCATGTGCCAATTAAAAAAAAGTTAACGATATTTGTATTTTGTTTATGCTAATTCTCTTACATGTAGTTTTTTGCGAAGAAATATTTCATTTATTTTTTAAAGTAAATATTATTTTTGAATAGTAATAAAAAGTAATATAAATAATTTTGATTTCTATTTATATTTTGCTTCCATTACACTGCATGCTTAGAGAATTAATAAATGTTTATATTTCATGATTTTAAAATTTGTTGTTAATATAACAATTTAGTTCTGTAATTATTATTATTTAATAAACCAACGTTGCCAAAAAAATTTAGAGACTATTATTTTCAAATAAGATCTAATATAAATAATTTTGACTTCTAATTTGTTGTTTATATTTTCCTACTACTTAAAAAATAAATGTTTATATTTCATGATTCTAAATTTTGTTATTAAACCAGTATTTGCTTAAAAACATTAAAAATCATTTTCCTGCATCCAAAATAAAAAGTATTATTGCAGTGTAACAACAGAATATTAATAAAAAAAATGCAAAATATATAGACATACTATCCCTAACTAACAAATACCAAAGAATAATATTCTTTGCTAATACCAATGTATGGCAACAGCGCCCTTCATAATGTATTGTGTTCATTTTTGTGTAAATACTAGCACCTCAATAAAAAAAAATAATGCGTCCTTATCTGACTCCGCAAAAAATCAAAGATGCCGGCTTCTTTCATACCATTGCCACCGACCGCTGTCGGGTTTCTAGGAAAAAAACCTACGAATTACCGAATTACTAGAATACAATATTTCAAGGCAGATGACCCATCTATTCGATAATTTTTATTCGAATAGTTTTCGACGAATGTTTTCTTACTAGCTATCGAATTATTTGAATGAATTGCAACTATCGAATGTTTCGATAGTTCCCACTACTATTTATTAGTCAATAATAGCCCAAAAAGACGTTTGTAAGTCAATCATAACCCTAAAATACATATTTGTTAGTCAATAACAGACCTAAAAATAGATCCAAAGTAAATAACTGCACCTAAAAAAAATTCAAACAAGAAAAATGGTGTAATAACTTTAAGAACACTGGATGACCCTCTACAGTAAAATAAAAGTAAGATCAGAACAAGTTAAAGAATTTATTTCCTATATATTAACTAAATTTTACATGACAAAAAAAGGTTAACGGTACCAAAAATTCCTGTTTGTTTAGTCACAATCAAAGCCAGACAAACGAAAAAACAAACACAAGGATAATGCGCCAGGACACACAAGCTAAATAGTAATAATATTAGTAAAACTAGACCTACCAAATAGCCTTGGTTCATGTTGGGACCCATCGGAGTACCCATGTTCATGGGGGGTCCGCCCATCTGTCCGTTGGGACCTTGCATCATGCCCATGGGGGCCTGCGGGGGTCCCCAGGCTGACGAAGCGTCGTTCGCGCCCATTTTGTTGCCCCCTGAACCGTCTCTGGGTTCTGCTTTCTTAATTTCCACCTATAAACGCATAAATAAAATTATTACTACTATACCACAAATTACTTATAACAGATGCGAAAGAACACCGAATTACGCGTTCAGGTTTCTATGACCTTCAGAAAGAGTTCATAGACAATCCGCATCAATGTATAGTTTGGGTTATTATTTGTTTGGGTGAAAATAATCTGCACCAATATGTTATCGAGGCATACAAAAAGGTCCACAGACTTCGAGACATACGAAAAATCAAGTCCATTTAGCGTGTGTCGCAATTTTCACACCTTAAAAATTTAGTTTTTTATAGCTATAGCAACTACAGCGACTATGACAAAAGCTGTGTGATTTTCATAGAAAATAAGGGCACCTGTAATTCATTTGAGAATGTTATAAATCGCTAAAAGAGGTTTCAAATCTGTTAGATTTCTATTAATATTAAATAAATTTTATTAAAAATTGAACTAAAATTGTTAGTATCATTAAAAACAATTCAAATTCAAAAATTGTATCAGTCAAATTCCCTCATTTAAGGTGAATATTAAAGTAAATATAAATACAGCTCATTCGAAGCTCTACTTATCTTTAAGAAAAATTTAAATCATTGTTGCAATTGGGCCTTAATGCCATTTCGAATGAACAATAGTATTAATAATGTACATTATAATAATAATAAATTTTATATCATAGTGTGTATTAAAACTACTAAAACACTTTTAAATTGGTATTATATTAACAACTTTTGTTTTTTAATCCAAAAAAAGTTACCAATTTTCTCAATCAAAATATTTGTGGTCCTGAAAAGGACCTTCGTTTTCCCATGTTCGTCAAGGTAGGTAATGGGTAAGCGGTAAAAAAAACAGGATAATGAAATTTAAAAAATTACAAAAATTGTTCAAAAGTGCCTCCCTCTTGCATTAAACAATAACCCAAACGATCATAAAATCCCCTCCTCACATTGGATAACATATCAGGGGTGACAGTGTCAAAGGCATTAAATATTTTCTGCCTTAACTGCTCCAAGTTTTGAATTTCTTCATGGCCGTAAATTTTAGATTTTATGTACCCCCATAAAAAGAAATCATTCACCGAGAAGTCAGGTGAAATTAAACGTCAGTCTAAACAAAACTGTCATTTTTGAAAACTTGTCAAAATTTGGACACACGCTAAATGGACTTGATTTTCCTATGTCTCGAAGTCTGTGGACTTTTCTGTATAATCTCACAGTAATTTAATAGATTGCTCGTCATATTATATCAGCTCGTAGGAGATTAGGAAAAAAAAAGATATTTATAGTATAAAAAATTAATTTATTTAACAAAATTTAATTAAAGATGTGACAAAATAGTTACATTTCTATTGGTTCTATCAGACTTTTTTCGACTATATAAATCTTTATTTTTTGTAAACTTTAATGCATAAAATATTTTCAATCTAATAAATAATTTAATGATGTAAATAAGAGGAAATTTCTCACATGGATGGTCAAATTCTATAGTTTTCATTAATCAAACAGCCTCTGAATGTTTTCTTCAGTGCAAAACTCATCAAAATTTAATATAAATAATTTTTCCAGCTTGTAAATAAAATGAACAAATTTTTCCACTTTCATGATCGAAGGCTTTTAAATGGGTAAATAATTTCGAGTTATCCAGAGATTCGGATTCTTTTGCAAATTTTAGACAAATATCACATTGATGTATTTGAAGACCCTTTTTAATGATGTAGTCAAACATTATTAAAGGCATTTTGAGTTGAAAACATTTCTCAGAGAATGAAAACTATAAAATTTGACCACCCATGTGAGAAATTTCCTCTTATTTACATCATTAAATGATTTATTAGATTGAAAATATTTGATGTATTAAAGTTTACAAATAAAGATTTATATAGTATTTTGTCACATTTTTAATCAAATTTTGTTAAACAAATTAATTTTTTATACTATAAATATCTTTTTTTTCCTTATAAATAAACATATTTGCATCCCATTTTAAATAAGATATACAAATTACCAAAACTTAGAAATAACAGTTCAAAAGTTCAACAAAAATCCTACACGCATTTTTAAAAAGAAACATATAACCACGCACCATGTCATTCCAGCAAGCGAATACGACACAGCATAGGTTTCCGGACTAAACGACTGGTGTATTTACACCACCCGATAGGCGTGTCGGGTTTGCCGAGCGGTTTCCGATGCAGTCGCTTTCTTTCGCATCTGTTATAGGTAATTTGTGACTATACTCTGTTCTTTTTTTCTCAGGTAAGATTTCAACAGACGATGACAGAAGAAAAGCAGATGACGTCCCATACCAATCTATTTATTTTACTAAAAAAACTTCTAATATTTTTTAAGTTAACTATGGATGGGTTTAAATATAAATCCGTCTTGCGTCGTCTCTTCTTGTTTTTAACCAGTATGTGTTGGTTTATTTCAAAAATGACAGATCATTTTTCAAATGTTATTGGTTTGCCGGAACGATGAACGACAAACGACATAAGCCGATGCGTATGAATTCGCCTTTAGATTTTTGAGGCTTGTAAAAGTCTTGCCAAATTATAGGTTATAATTTTGTGTCAACTTATGACAAATATCTGCGTTTTGGAAGATGATGCATTTTGATTCGTGTTATTACGTGTGTTTTGTGTCTTTTGAAGTCAAGTGGAAGAAAAATCGAGGGAAAATTAACTGTAGACCCAGAGCAGAGTTTATAGTTAATTCGCTACCCAGGCAGAAAGTCTTATACACCAATAGTTACCATCAATAAAGTTTGTATACCATCTCGTCGTAGATAAGTGCATCTCGTATATGCTACAGGGATTGTACTAAACATATACTACTGGAGTAGCTGTAAAATATCGACATCCCACGATTGGTAAATAATGGATTTTAGTACTGCAGAAAAATAATGTCAAAAGGTACTGGTTTAAAAAAATTAAGATTAAGCTTAATTAATCAACCTTTAAGGTATAAAATTTGGAAAGCGTTATTATTAAATAAGTTTGTTTTATTTATGTTGTTTTATTTATTCCCGTAGAATATTACAAATTTGTATTTGTACATAAGTTATATGATAAATATAATAGCGAAAAGTTTCTTGAAGCTCGAAAGTAAGAAATAGTTCTTTTTTATATTTTTTTGGTATGTGATGTTTTGTTTTTGTTTGTTTTGTATTAACACATACCTTTTTTGTTAAATAAAATAACTCGATTACATTTTTTCAGTTTTATGCAGTTTTTTTTTCACAATATTTTGAAGTAATCACTTATCAGTCAAATTTTAAATATATTAATTTCCTGCTATGTGTTCCAGTTGTACCAACTTATTTCTTTGTAAAATAAAATAAACTACTTTGAAATTAAAATGACAGACACATCTATCACTGTCAAGGATCTTGTCGTTGGACAAACTATATATTCGTTGGGTCATTTGAACTACTAAATGTCTTTAAAGACAAGAAAAATAAACTCTGGGCTTACCTGCTTTCCGTTTAAGTTGACAAAATGTTCGCCGACGCATCTGTCAACCGACTCGTCATCTTCAAACGACAGGAAGCCAAAACCTGCAGAGAAAAAGAATTTTTTTTTGAGTAAATAATTTTGGGGATCACTGATATCCTTCCAACTAGACAATTTTTTTTCTAAAAAGCGATATTCTAGCGAATCAGACAAGTTTGAGAGCCACTGAAATAAGTTAGAGGCTTTTAGAGAAATTTTGAGAACCACCAGCATTTTTTCAGCTAGAGAAAAATGCATTTTTCGGCGGTTCTAAAAATGTTTCTGAGTTTGAAAGCCACGGAAAAAGATTAGTGGTTCCTAAAATAGAGAAATTTTAGAGACCACTATTATATATTTGCAACCACAGAAAAAATATAGTTTCAGTGATTCTAAATTTTTTTCTTTATGACGAATGCTTTGAATTTTAAAATAAAAAAAATTTTGAGAACCACTGACAGATACTTTTCCAACCAAAATAAAAATATTTTCTGCGGTTCTGAAACTGTTTCTTTGTATCATAAACAAGTTTAAATTATTTTTTTTTTTGATTTTAACAACGCCAAAATTATAATGAAAGAAGCGATAGCCTCTAAAAGAAAAATAAAAGAAGCTACATATTTATTTTTTATTTTATTAGAATACAATCTAATAAAAATAAATGTACTGCTCATGCATCTGTAGATATTAATAATGTATATCAATCGCTTCTTTGATTTTAAAGAACGTAACATACGTAAAAATTAAAAACAAATTAAAAATAATCATACAGAAACTTTGAAACTTTTTGGTTTTACCTTATTAAATAATTGTTTACCAGGTAGTAATTGTTAATTTTGAAGTTTAACTTGATATAATGTCATTTTAACAGAACGTCAACGTTTTGTAGACGTATCTGTTTTAAAATAACCAAAAGTGTTCTTGAATAGTTGCATTTAAATATTTTAAATAGTTTTTTTCTTTATTCTTTGTATTTTTTTTGCTTCCGACGACGGAAAGAGATAAACTTTCCGAAACGTTAAGCATTTTTTTGTTCGTTAGATCAGTAAACCTAACTGCTGACAAGTAGTTTCCGTTTAGATTAACTCAAAAGTGTTTACAAAAAATACCTATTTTATTTTGTAGATTTTCTTGCAGTGGCAAAATACCCATCTAGGATTTTTTTGGAGAGACGAATCTGCCACATAGGTATAGACATTTTTTAAACAATTTTAAGAACCACTGAAAGTTCTGTCAAAACTTATTCAATCAGAGCGCAAAAAATATGTTTCAGCGGTTCCAAAAACGTGTGGATAATATTTGAGAGCCACTGAAGATATTAAATATTAATAAATTAGGCAGTTTAATGCAAAAATATTCCTATATTTCCAAAAAACGAACATTTATGTTTATAGAAACCATTTTTTAATCAAAATTATGTGAAAAATGACTCAAGTTCAATACGACATACCTCTGGATTTCTTTTTCTCTTGGTCGTACATGATCACCACCTCCATCACCTTGCCGAATCGCGTGAAAAAGCTCCTCAAATCTGTCTCGGTCACGTTAGAGGGTAAACCCCCCAGGAACACCTTGGGATAGCCACCGCCCTTTTTCGGTTTCTGTAGGGTTCTAGGATTGCACGGTTTAGGATCGATCGTTCTATAAAATCAAAACAAACAAAAATTGTATTTTGGTAGAAAACATTTTCGATCTATGCCCTGAAGTGACGTCACAGTATAAAATATTAGTCTAGTCGATACATGGTCTAAGGTTTCGTGTAAACAGACCTTAAGGAAGGAGTATATCAAACAATTTAGGTAGAGCGCGATGGGGACCAAAAATGGCCGATTTATCAGTGCCGTTCTGATTTTATTCAAAACGTGTAAAAATATGATGTAGGGTAGACTCAGTAATTTGATGTTTTATTTTACCTTGTCAATAATTATTGTTGGTAGTTCTAAATTCTTTGACATCTAATCTATGACAAGTAGTAAATAAAAGCAAAAATGCAAGAAAAAACATATAATTATTAGTTAATTTAAGTGAATTTCATAAATGATCGGTTTACTACACATATGTATATTATAATATAGTCACTTGCTAGCGAAAAGTTGTTCCATTATTTCATTCGATTTTTGCCGAGATCTACCGCACGCTACACAACCCACTATTTTAGAGTCTTTTTCAATAAATCGCAATAGCGTCACTGTTAATTTAAGTTCTGCCACAATTTTCATCTAGATTTACTATCTTTATACAACTATCAGTAGTAGAATAAATAATAAATAACATAAAATAAGCTCCGTAAAGACTGACAAATCCACAAAATTTCAAATCAAATTCAAATGTGTCAAATGAATCATCAAACAGAAATGATCCCCACCTTTGTCTACCATGCATTAATACATGGATAGCATTAAACTTTATATTCCTTCTTTAATCTTATTATTCAAAGGCATTTAATTTTTGACTTAACATGTAAGACTGACAGGTAAAACGTTGCGTGTAGTCGGGGCTTTAGGATACATACCTTCCGTCTAGCGTGTGCGGTCCGTTTTGCAGTACGACGTTGACGTTTGCCGGATCGGCGAACGTGACGAAGCCGAAGCCTCTGGACCTGCCAGATTCCGCGTTCTTCATCACCACGCAGTCTATTACTTCGCCGTACCTCGAAAAGTATCTTTGAAGGTTGTCCTGGGTGGTTTCCCACGACAATCCTCCGACGAAAAGTTTCCTAAATAGAGAAAAGAACACTCTGTATAAATTTTGAATCGATATCGGTACTTCTTTAAGAAGATTTTATCAAAATTTTGACAAACAAGTGAGAAAAAATTATGTAAAAACGTTTTGTTTGGTTTGGTTAGGTTGTAAATCTCAAAAAAATATATTTTTGAAAAGAACGAAAGATGATTCACCCTGTATAGTGTGATATCATTGACAATTTGACACAATGTTGCCAGAATTGAAGGATTTCCTTTAATATGAAGAATTTTTAATCAAAAAGAAGACAATATGAAGGTTTCTAGCAGTTTTGCACAATGATAAAAATGTAGTAACGGTGTTTAATTAAGGATGCCTCAGTTTAAGCAATGTTGCTGTCAAAAAGTCTGCAATTCAAAAGATTTTAACACTTTTGGGTAAAATACACGAAATTTGGTGATTTTTCAGAAGATCTCGATTTTCTTTTTGTGAAGTTGAAGGAATATGAATGTTTTTACGTTGAAGAAATTCGTTCGAGAATTTCTGGCAACACTGATTGGACATTAACTCCAGTGACAGTACACAGTTGCCAGAGCTAGGAAATTTTCCCTAGATCAGTGCCTTCTATTAAAAGATCAGCCTACGGGCGAGATTTATGACGTCCCGCTAGTTAGATATAACGGATTAATAAATATGTTGTAGAATACATGGAGAACATAATTATTCCTCAGGTTTTTGGTTTGTATTTTAAAAATGATATAGTTTACATGAAATATACATAATATACAGTTAATAACTACAACATATATACCTATTTATAGTAGTAAATACTTTGGCAAATAAACTATGAACCATACAAATGCAGCAAATGTTTTACAATGTACAAATAATGTATAGGTACATAAGATAATGGGTAAAATGTAAATATATTTTAAATTTTGGGGTTTGAAAATCGTTCTAATTTAACAAAAAACATTCAATATCTACTAATAGTGATGTATTATTATTTGCATTCACAAAATTTATATGTATATTTTGCAAGTATCAATGTTTGAAAAATTATATTTACAAATAATACAATATTATCTAAAAAAAGGCGTCAGCGATGGGTATGAAATGAAGATCGCTGGCATTTTATAAGTAAAATTATTCTAAAATTTTTGATTTTCTTGGGATTTTTAGGTTCGGGAAAAACGCTGATTTAAGTTTTCATTATTTTTATTTGGTTTAAAAAAACGTTTCGGCTAACTATAGCCTTCATCAGTGTTGTGTCATATGAGAAAAATAGTGTTGAATATAATCCAACAAATTACATATACAATATAATTCACACCTCATAATGTTCACTGCAATTAATAAACTAATATAAACTTATCAAAAGATGACCACATATTTTTTAAAATTATTATTCTTAACACTAAAATTATCTACATTGACTATGGAGTACGCAGTAAACATTATGTGTGTGGTGTGAATATTTTATATGTAATTTTTTGGATTATATTCGACACTATTTTTTTCATATGACACAACACTGATGAAGGCTATAATGTTAGCCGAAACGTTTTTTTTAAACCAAATAAAAATAATGAAAAACCAAATGAAAACTTAATCAGCGTTTTTCCCGAACCTAAATCCCAAGAAAATCAAAACATTTAGAATATTTAGAAACAAGATTCAAGAATATCAAATTTTCCAAGATTGTAAAATTCTAGTTAATTATTTTACGTGTACAGTTATTTAGGCAATGTCATCGATGTTCATTTCCAAGCCAACTAGGCGTCGATTTTTTTCGATGATACGGTATAATTCTTACGTAAAATGTAAATAACATTAGACCAATTAAAACAAAGGAATATGAATTTCTTAGTATTTTTAGTAACACCTTTATTCTTAAAACTTAATTTTGTATTATGCAAATATACCAATTTTATTGTTATTTTATTCATATTGTATTCAGCCATCACTTAAATATTTGATATTAATTTGGTATTATAAATAATCAACACTATTCATTAAAAATTACTGAACAAAAATATATGTTATGCTTGACAACTTGACATACATTATATATTATCAAACAAAAGCACATTCTTCTTTTAAACTGTATCAGTCTTGTCTTTCCAAAAATCTTTTTTAAAATTTGAACTCAAAATAATAATCTTTTTCATGATCTTTAATACACATATTCTTTATTTTTCCCTAGATCATAATACCTACTTACGTGTTTGAATCTATCGAAGCTGAACCAACAACACTTGGAGTGGAGATTCCACAATATGAATAAAATAAACATAATTGTCCAGTTTTCATTAATACCATCATGGGAGAATATTATTTTTAAATTTATCAAAGATATGTTCAATAGAATTGTCGTGATTTATAACTCGTACCCACTTTTCTTACTCTTCCAGACACTTTAGGCTGCCTAGTATAACTATCCTTTCCACCAGGAACACAACAAAGATGAGGCATAGCACCAAAAACACACTCCGCTTAAGCTTTATTAATGAATTGTTGAGTCTTAAAAAACCCACACAAAAATCACGATGAGTAAAAAATGTATGGGCACTTTTAGGTTAAATCACTTACACAACGTGTAATTTTTCAATTTTTCTATTTTTTTATGCGAAACCGAGAGTGACCATATATCTGGTAGTAGTTTATGTCACTTAAACACCAAAATAATTAGTTTTTTGCACTACAATAATAAATAATACAAAAAATCATAGAGTTAAAACCAAAAATCAACCGACAAAATATGAAACGGAATCTAACCCAATATCTAAGTATGTACAGCTGATGAAGTAAACAAAAGTCCGCCCCCAGGCTGCCTAGATCTAGGAAAAATCACGAAAATTTGAAGATAAAAAATATTAGAAAAAAATACACCAAATTTGGTGAGTAATGCATTTAAAAGTAGCGAAGTATATTCAGAAAAAAGCTTTAAACATTTGCAAACTCTGAGATTGTCAAAGTTAGACAATTCTAGGGAATTTGGAAAATTTTCTCTGGCAACTTTGGACAGACATAACAAAGCTTGAATTAAAATGTTTCTAAGCCTACTGTGACCTAAATACTTTTAATTCCATCACACTGTATATACTAAAATTATAATTAAACTACTTAAACAACAAATACAATTATTAAAATATTGAAAATACACTTACATTAACATTGTAACTATAAAAATCCCGTGTTAAAACTTAAAAATAACCTAACAAGTTATTAATAAATCTATCTACAGCACATGTTCCCACTCTGAGAAACTGACGATAAATAGTTTAAAGTTAGTTGGACAGTATCATAAAATAAACAAAATAGGAAATACATTCAATATTCCTGCTATTGACTTACTGATAAGATCAGAAAAGAAAAAACCCAAATAAAGATATTAACCAATTTAATAAGAAGTAGGTACCTATATTACAAAGGTGAGTAATAAAATTAATGAAATGCAGGTAAATTTTATACAGAGGTACTATAAAGATACTTCAAAATGCATTAGGATAAAACGACAATAAGCTTCAGTATAGAAAACGATATATTTACCGAAAAATAGTAATAATAAATGGCCCTGTGTAAAAATTTTAGGAATTTTTACCTGAAACATATGTTTTAGAAAATATTAAAGTGAAAATATAAGTAACGAGGAGATATGGCTTATATAAAGCTGAATTATACACGTGGAAGGCGAAAGTTTGTACCGAATCATCGAAAAACAACCGTTTTCTAGTGATAATTAAACAGAACGGAACAATTCAACAGCGTATTGGGGACGGGGCATCAACGTTGGCGTTGAGCATTCAAGCGACGCTTGAATAGAAAAATTGCGTCCTAAATGCTGCTAAATGTTGAAAATGTGGATTACAAGCAGAACTGTGCGTTCTTTGACCGCTTGATGTGTCGTTTGGGGTCGGTGAACGACGGTGTATGAAAAACCGGTACGCACCGCTGAAACACGCCTTCCGCTTCATCCAGAACTTTGGAAAAGGGCTTAAAATGATGAAAACTGTGTTGTTTGGGACATGAGATGGATGAAAAGGTTGATTTGGAGCGCGGTGCGTGTCCAACATGTGACGTGACCTACATAGAAGCGAAACTGTCCGGAAAAACGGCGTAAATAAAGCAACGTTACCCCTTTTCGTCGTCGTCCATGATTTCCTGCTTGAGCCTCAACATTCGCATGCTATTCCCAGCCCCGGATGGTTCCAAAAAAGCGATAATTCGCGGCCGGTCTCGCGCACGGCATCCACCACGAAAGCACAACGATCGACGACGGAACTCGAACTGCAATGGCAGCTCAGCGACTTCCGTCAATTTTTCTCGAGTGATTCGGGGCGCCACCGCCGCGGCGGCTAAATAACAGTGAAAAAAAATCGCTTACCCGTACTCGTACTCCTCCATCGGAACTGCTTCACTATAATTACTCCTTAAACTAAACTTAAAATTAATTAAATCTAGAGTACTACCCTAAATAACTACTAGCTTAGTTAGGAATAAACAGATATGTCACATACTGTTGACGGCAGAGGGGTGGCGGAATCCATCTTGGACGCAAGGTGGGGGAAAAATGTGCTGGAGGGCGTGACTTTCGGCCAATCAGAAATTCGGATTTTGCGCTTCCCTATTTATCCTAGCAACATTTTTAATTTATTTATTGAAAATAAAAACACAGTTGCCTTTGAGATTATCATATTTTTACCCAAAGCAAATTGAAAAAATCTCTAAAGTAAAAAATTGAAAACACGTAAACGTCCATCCCTGAAATTTATACTTGATCATGTATAACTAGTTGCCTGTATACAAAATTTATAACCACTTTTTAACAGAAGATTTTTGAGTAAAAAAGTAAAATAAAACACATTTTAATAAAAAGATATATTTTTATTATAAAAGTTAAGGAATGCGTTAGTATAACATCAAATAATAATAATAATAAATCTGTTTAACGAGAACGTATAGAAAACTAATGAGGATAAACTTAAAAGTTGCAAAAAAGACTTAAAATATATTTAAAACAACAAAAACACTTAATAAGACAATTTAAAGCCTTTTTTCTTGCAACAAACTACACTTATTACTTATTTTGTTAATAAATTGTTTTGCTTTTTTTTTGTAAAATAAATGCAATGCTATACCTATATAGGAATGTTTTTTTTTTTGAAAAGTCTCTTTCATTCATGAAAATATGAAATTATTTTAAAGCTATCTTGTAATGTTTAAGTACAATCACATGCCAAAATAATTAAAAAAAACGTTATATTGCTTTAGAAGCTGAATTTTCGTTTTTGTTTTGTACAAAAATGCAAAATTTTTGATACTTATCAGGAATTTAAAAAAAATGAAGGAATTTTACAATGGAAATGTGTGTAAACTCAGGTACGACTTAGAGTAAATACCAAAACTGTAAGTATACAGTGTGAGTAAAATAGTTCGCAATAAATGTGACACAAAAATTATTATTCTGTTAACTATTTTATTTTTCCCGTTTGTTGCAAACTTTTTTACACACACTGTAGGTACATATGTATGTATATTTTTTAACGTTCCAGTTTTTTTCTAAATATCAACTAGATCACAGTATATATTAAATAGCAAGAGATCATCTGGTATAGTCTGTCCAAGAAATAAGGAAAGATTTCACACTTAAAAAATGACATAAAATGCTTGTGAAATAAAATGGCAGACTCAACTGTCACTGTCAGTGAACCTCTCATTGGACAGACTATATGAAATATATTGAAACAAAAAAAAAAGTGTTTGAATCTTACAAAATTTCGCTAATATACACTGTGTCTCAAGAATATTATTACTCTTTTTAACAGAAAAAAAAACTCATAGAATATGATCAGTATTTTCATTTCCCTGTCCATTCTGTTACTTTACCATTATCGAAAACCAGGTTCCTCATCGGTAAAGGTACTAACTTGCCTCTGTTGACAATTTTCATGTTCTCTCCGGGATTGAATTGACATTGAGATATGAATTCTAGCAAGAGTTCTCCTAATTTTTTTCCCGATGCCAGCAAATGCTCCAAACTGTTTAAAATCGTATTTTAGTAACAAAAAAATATATTTTTTATACAGGGTGTTTAAAGCATTACTGTTATGAAAACACACTTTCTGGTAATTTTTTCACTTTTTTAAAACGAGTGGAAGGGGTTGAAATAACCTACCCCTATCATTCTTGTTAACGAAATTTAAAGAAAAATCTTATCAAACACATTCAAAAAAATTAATTTGGATAGTTTAGTTTGTTTAGAAACTTTTTTATCTCTTGTATTTTTTTGATAAAACTCACCGATTTGAAATTAAAAAATAAAATGTAAAGCATTACATGTCAGGACAAAAAACATTTTCTGATAAAGAATCTAGTGGGCTGCTGTAATTTTTTTAGGAAAAAATCTAGTCGGCCGCTTTTACTTTTTAGGATGTTCCTAATATTATTTTATTTGACATTACTGCAATACGTTATTATCTAGATGATTATTATTATCGTTATTATCACTAGATTCTTAATCTAAAAATGTTTTTTGTCCTGACATGTAATGCTTTACATTTTATTTTTTAATTTCAAATCGGTGAGTTTTATCAAAAAAATACAAGAGATAAAAAAGTTTCTAAACAAACTAAACTATCCAAATTAATTTTTTTGAATGTGTTTGATAAGATTTTTCTTTAAATTTCGTTAACAAGAATGATATGGGTAGTTTATTTCAACCCCTTCCACTCATTTTAAAAAAGTAAAAAAATTACCTGAAAGTGTGTTTTCATAACAGTAATGCTTCCATAAAATTTCATTAGTCTATCTCTTTTCGTTTTCAAGATAAAAAATAAAAACATTATTTTTCCGCCATCTTTGTACCGCGATATCTCCCTAATGGTTGACTTTTGACCCAACGTTTATAAAGCAAACTACCCTTTATTTTGAACAAGGAATCACCCCCTAAAGTTTTTCGCATTTGTTTTGAAACACCATGTATATAAACAGTACCTATTCTCTCCTGCCAGGCCTCCAGATACAATAGCATCACAAATTTTCGTGTTGGCGTCTGCATCGAACAGGGGAACCCCAAAATGACAATCAAGCAGTGTCCAAACCTGAAAAAAAAACAATTATAAACTAAATTCAAACGACAGCAAGTAGTTTTTATTCTTACACTGCTGTTTCTGTCTGATTCCTCACTAACTTCAGCTACCTGCTCTTCTTCTTTTGCTGACTGTCAAGTTCTTCTTGTATCCGGCTGAAAATGCCTACGTTTTCGTCCAGAGGGCTCTGGAGCTGTTCCAAGGCCTGCTTCTGTTTCTCCTGAATTGCTAATTGGTCTAGTTCTTCTTGAAGTAACGTCGTACAATCTTGACTGAATGAAATATTAAAATACTCATTTTTTTATTAATCTTCATTAAAACATAATTTTTTTTACCTGGTAAACCCGTTGGTCGGTGACGATCTGTGGCTACCGCCATCTACAGGCGTGAGAGCGAAGTGCGACTCTACAGGACTCTGTAATCTATTCTCCTCCTCCTTTTCAAAGCGGAAGTTCTCGTTTGATATGCTGTTGGCGCTTTGGGTGGTCTTGGAAGCTCCTGGTCGTGGTTTTGGTGCTCCTAAAGTAACAAAAAATAGTTTTTTGTTATTAAAAAATGTAGATACAAAAAGAGAATGAGTACCTTTTAACCTAATTTCAGCCGATTCGCCTTCGGCTCTGCCAAAATCGAGTACTCCCACGTTGGCGAAGGTTAAGTAGCCGCAGGTGTGGTTCAAGTCGAGTAGATCTGTCAAAATAGTGACAGCGGGGTGGCGCTTTAATACTGATTCGGTATCGGAATTGGAACGACTAAAAAAATACACTTTTTTGACGTTTATGTATACTTTTTAAAAAACCCTGTATATTTGGTCTATTTAATTTATTCATACCTTTTGATACAGTAATTTTAATTATTTGTACATGTTTCTAAAATAAGTGCAGAATTTATATATTCTGTTGATTTTTTGTAAAAAAAAATCTGGAAAAACATGTAATACACAAAAAATATTTTTTTTCTTACTTGTTTTTTACAGAATCCTGTGATTTGAATGGAAATGGTAACAGTTTGGTTTCCGCAGGTTCGTGGACACCAAAACCCTGAATCAACACAGGGGCGAACTGTAAGGCAGCATTAACGTAGAGGAAATTCGCTACTGGAACCACGGCCGGCTCGTGAAGCCAAGATGTCACCTAGAAAAAGTAGGAAAAAAATTAAATTCAATTTCTACCCAAGGATGACGTCATTTAATTTATTTATGTTGGCTACAAAAAATGTAGGACGAAAAAAAGTGTCTATGTGTTTCATGGTCTAAGATATTAAAAACCTTGATTTTTTGTCACATAGAAATAAATTTTGTTTAAGCTCATGACCAAGTATAACAGTCGTTTAATTTAATATTTTTTACATTACTTAATTTATGTTAACTACAAAATCCCAACGAAAAAAATGCGTCTATATATTTCATGGTCTAATATATTAAAAATCCTTATTTTTTGACGTCTCAAAAATATAAAAAAAATATTTTTTACGCCCACGCCCACGTATGACGTCATTTAATTTATTTATGTTGGCTACAAAATCGCGACGAAAAAAATATCTACGTTTTTCATAGTCTAAGATATTTAAAAACTTGTTTTTTGTCACATAGAAAAATATATTTTGTTTAAGATCAATATCAAGTATAACAGTCATTTAATTTAATATTTTTTACATTATTTAATTTATATTGGCTACAAAATACCGACGAAAAAAACGTGTGTATGTATTTCATGGTCTAAGATATAAAAAAAATCCTTATTTTTTGATGCCTTGAAAATATAAAAAAATATTTTAAGCTCATGCCCAAGTATGACGTCTTTTAATTACGTTGGCTATATAATCCCGACCAAGAAAATGTGTCTATGTATTTCATGGTCTAATATATAAAAAAATACTTATATTTTGTCATCTAGAAAATATAGAAAATATTTCTTAAGCTCATGCTCAAGTATAACGTCATTTCATTTAACATTTTTACATTATTTAATTTATGTTGGCTGCAAAATTCCGACAAAAAATGTGTCTATGTATTTCATGGTCTAATATATAAAAAAATACTTATATTTTGTCATCTAGAAAATAAAGAAAATATTTCTTAAGCTCATGCTCAAGTATAACGTCATTTCATTTAACATTTTTACATTATTTAATTTATGTTGGCTGCAAAATTCCGACAAAAAATGTATCTATGTATTTCATGGTCTAATATATAAAAAAATCCTTATTTTTTGTCGTCTAGAAATTATAAAAAATATTTTTTTAAGCTCATACCTAAGTATGACGTCATTTAATTTAAGATTTTTACATTATTTAATTTATGTTGGCTACAAAATCCCGACGAAAAAAAATGTGTCTATGTATTTCATAGTCTAAGATTTTTGACGTCTAGAAAATATAAAAAAAAAATAAGCTAATGCCCAAGTGTGGCGTCATTTAATAATTATGTAGGCTACAAAATCCCAACGAAAAAAATGTATCAATGTGTTTTATGCTCTAAGATATAAAAAAAATCGTTTTTTTATATCTTTCACAGTTTTTTACAAGCTAGAGCTAAATTTACACCTACCAAGAGCCTAGAAAAGCCCAAAAACATCCTGGGCAGTCGTCTAAGTTCCGTTCCTTTGGCCAGAAGCAAACTGGGAGGTCCGTAACCGGTCATATGATACAAAAAGAGTCTAAACCATAAACTGTTAACCTCCGGATGGATGGGGCCTAGAAGAGGTGGCGGAGCTCCCGCAGCGAACGAAGATATCCTAACCTAGAAAATTTTCGCAAAAAATATTAACCCAAAAAAATTAATATCATTTTTAAACCTTACTTCGCGACCAATTGGAGCCATAGCAATCAACACCCTGTATTTCCTCTTCAACAGTCTCTGACAAGCGGCTTCGTCCAACGAATTCAGACTTTCTAACCTCACTAAATCTAACCCGGGACCATCTAGCTTCCTCAAGGCCATAATAGTTGATCTATTAACATATAAAATATAATTTGGATAACATATAAAAATTATCAACATATAAAAACAACAATTTATTATAAAAACATAGGTATATTTAAAACCAGAGATATAGAAGTATAAGCAGAAACTATAATCATGATGGCCGCCATGATTAGAAATTTTACTCTCTACCTCTATACCTCTGCCAAAAACACAATCCTAACCTCAAAATTACGGCGTGATCAAAAAATCTCCTAGCCTCTCCCTCACCGTCGGCATCCATGGCCGATACCTTCTCCAATTCACACAAAAAACTGTCCAGACTCTCGTGTTGCAGTTTTCCAACCTCAAACATGGTCACCGCGTGACGTTTCAGGCCGGGAGACAGGTTCCCCATCATCAAAAACGCCGTCAAGGCCGAGTCGAACAAGAACGCCACCCTCAAACCGGTAGAATTGCTCTGATTGGTCGAGTGGGTGGGACTATCCGTCGTGGGCGTGGACGGAGTCGCGAGGGCGTGGTCTGTTGAGGTTAGGGTCAGAGTTAAGGGGGTTATATCGGCTTGTGGACTGAAAAATTAGGTTAGAATTAAAACTAAAGTCATTTTTAATCATTTTTTAATACCTGTCGGTATTGGTTGATACATTCAACCAGGAAGGGTGTCTTCTGGCTTTTTCTTGGTCACTTTCTGGGTCTAGCTTCTTAGCAAAATGTAGACGACAATACAGAGACACTGCTTGCTTCACTAGCTCTGTATCAACTTCCAGAACAGTAGCCAACTAAAACCACATTAAAAACAACTTTATATCATGTTTTGCTGTTTATTTTTTTAGAAAACGTCTATTATGGGATATTAGTAGCATTTTTTTTAAGATACAGAACGTTTCAAACTTATTTTTACATAAAAATATATTTTCTATATGGAGTATAATATATTTTACTGCATTTGCTTTGACTCACCCTGTATATACTAAGCAAATTAGTGTATTTTAATATACCTAATAAATTTATACCAAATAAAAAAAAATAATTTGAAACTTTACAATTTTAGGAGAGTTTTAAATGTTCAGAAAATTTACTAAAATTGATTTTATGATATTTACTTAAAATTGGTCATATTTCAAAGACCACACGGTATATATAAAATGATATTATGGTATTTGAGAAATGAGAATTTAATGGCAAATCCATTGATCGAAAATAATATCCCTAGCAGTCTTTTTTAAAATATATACCACTTTAGTTTGAAGATATATTTGAATCGCCCGGTATATTAACAAAAATATTTTTAAAATGTGTTTAATTAAAAAAATGGCATTATTATACAGCACTTTCAGTTAAAAAAGCAGTATTGTAGATTTATAATAAAAAAAAGTCATATTTTCAAAAACCATTTACTACAGATTATCAATTATTTATGGTGCCTATTTTATAGAAAATTCATAGCAAACCAAATAAACAATTGCAAAAGCATTTAAAAAATACCACTTGTTTGATAATGTGATTTTGATAATCTCAAAAAAAAACTTTTTGCAAAAATTATTCACCCAGCACAAATATATTAGAAGCATTCAAGTAAAATTACAAAAACATGAAACTTAATATGTTGATTTTACAAAAACAATCTATCCCTTTGTTTATCATGTTGTAATAAATGACTCACCTCTGCTACTGTAGTTTGTTCATCGATAGAAACAAATATTTTGTATAGCAACGTCTCAAAATAGTCTCCCAAAATTCTGTTCATTACAAAACCTTGCAAAGGTGGCACTTGAACTCTATCCACTGCAGTGATAGGCACATCTAAATACACTAGTCCTTTTCTAAAACACACATTCACCAATAAAAATAATTAAAAATATAAAAAACCTTACTTATACAAGCTCACAACAACATTATAATTCAAATCTCCAGCATTCTGTGACCCTAAATCTATAAGCTTATCTATTACAGTCCGTTCTTCTTCATTCACCATCTAAAAAAACCTTATTAAACTATTTAAAACAAGTTAATTCGTGTTTACCTTCATATCTTCCTCTAAAATTAGGCCTGCTTCGATTCTCCACCATGGTTCTATATGGATATTAACCGGAACCTTTGGCAATAACACATGCACATTCTTCCTACCGAATAACCTTCCTCTGTTTGATCTGGATTGGTTCATTAAATCAATATATTCGTTTCTACCGATTCCTAATAGTCGTAGACCTATAAAATCATTATTTATGTTTTTTGATATTCACAGAGTGGCTCATGGTAATCTTACAATCTGCAGCGGTAAAATTAGGCAAGGTATCGTAGCTTTTCTCCGCCTGCATTAGTCTTTCTACCACAGATATGTAATAGTTGAACGGGGTGATTCTTAGGCCTTTGACTATCATGTCGGCCAAATGGTATGGGAACAGCATAAGTCTTTCTTTGCTGTAGGCCACGACTCTTTCATAATAGTGTTTTTCATCTTTTAATACGTGACGTACTAAAAGTAATAAAGTTATAACACAATTTTACAAGTTTTAACAGAATTAATATACCCAAGTTTCCCCTGTATCTTAGTTGATTTTTAATGCTAAAACTTATTATGTATTTGGCATACTCCTTGGACGAATTACTTAAAACCTAAATAGAAAAACTTCGTAAACACTTGATAATTAATTATATCAAATCCTTGTTTGAACAGGATTTAAGAAATTTATATTAGCAAGTATGTGATTCATGTTTTACCTTTTTTACGCTAGTAGGAAGCTTTGCCCACGGTACTTTCTTACGAATCTGCTCCTCTATTTCCGAACTCATCTTTGTTACCACTTATAAACTCATTTTATGCTGTTGAATGTACACATTTTTGAAAAAATTGTTAACTTTATGAAAATTTTGTCCCACAAATGTCAAAAACTGAACCAAAATATGGGGAAATATTTGTTTTTAAGGTCAAATTTCGTTATGCAACTAAACATACATATTTTGGTAGATTTCTATAATATCGACATAAATTTATGTCAAAAATGTCGTAAGGAATTCAATATGGCCGGTATTTTGTTGTCAAACAGATTAAAATTAGTGCATTTTTAAAGGTCTACAATAAAAATTAACAATTTTTTAACTTTAGCTTATAAGAATGACTTACTCTCATTAGTATTCCACTTAAGTATACGGGTATCTATAAGATAATGTCCGGTATAACCGCAAAACATGCAATTTTATTAGCTTTTATTGATAGGGTGTAGTTTTGATGGTGTATCCTTGCCAAAAATGTGATGTGTTATTTATAAAATATGAAATTCGTTATTGTTCCTTGCGTTATGCTTTTCCTACGGCTGTTCTGCGGCTCATCAGCTGAGGACAGCCCCTTGTGTTCGAGTAAATGTACCTGTAAGCCAAATTCCCAACGTGATGGGGCAAACTACCTTAAGATGACCTGTGGCGAGACCGAGAAAATATCTCATTTAGATGAACTGGAACTCCTCAATATTGCCAGTGAATTATTTCAGCTGTAAGTGTTAGAACTGTATAGAGAATTATGGTTTTATTTACCTAACTATTTAAAGAATGTCTAAATTTATTGTTTTTTGATGTAATCCAAAGCACAGAACTGTTTTTAATATAAACCAAAGTAATTATAGAGTTTTAGTATACATAAATAGGGCTTTAATTATAGGAATGTTTATTTTCTATTGTGATATTTATTACTTTTTTCCAGGAATCTTTCTAACAACAACTTAAAGACATTTTCAACTAAAGTTGAACTTATAGCTTTACAAAAACTGTAAGTATCATCCAATATTAAGTTTTCAACATCTAAAAGACTTTTTTATAGAAATTTAAGTGGAAACCAGTTAACAGAACTCCAAGAACACCAATTTAGGGAAGTACCACACTTACGGAGGCTGGACCTCTCAGAAAACAGCATTAAACACATTGATATCAAGAGTTTTGAAGGCCTAAAACATCTAGAACGACTTAAACTGAATCATAATGAACTTACATCGATAACTATGGGAACTTTTGATGTGTTACCTAACCTAAAACAACTGTATGTTTGAATTTGCTGGAGAAAAACGTTTTTATTATATATTTTTTAGTGATTTATCGAACAATCCTCTTCAATGTGACTGTGGCCTGCTCTGGGTGCTAGAATACATACAAAAACATTCTGTCAAGTTAATATCGAACCCAAAATGCAACACACCGCCCAGTTTTAAAGGACTACCTTTAAGAAAACTAAGGGTTGGTGTAGATATTCACTGCAAATCATCCTCGCATAGCAATGGACTGCCTTTAATAGATCTAAAACCAGAAACAAACCAAATTGTTTTCGAAGGTGATTATGTAGAGTTTCACTGTAGAGCGCCTAGCATGACGGATACCTCAGATGACTCAAGGTAAATAAAAATATTAATATAGATTTTTATAATTAAAAATTAATATTTTTTTAGGTTAAAATGGTTGTGGTCAAATTTGTATGCTAAAGATAATTTCAAAGATATCTCTATATCTACCAAGTCTTCCCCTAGTACAGGCCTGATTGACAGTGTTCTAGTTATTAAGCTTCTTAAGAGCTGGCATACAGGTGTATGGGGTTGCCTATTTACCTCAATTCAAGGCAACCATTCAAAAAGTATATCAGTGACAGTTATATCAGAAAATACCAGATATTGCCCTATAGTAACAAGTAAAGGCAACAAAGGAACCTATACATGGCCTAAAACAGTGTTAAATAACACTGTAACGGTACCCTGTGAATTTTTAAACCTTAATTACGATCCATCTCTTCAAAGAGCCTCATATTTTTGTTCTGACAATGGTACCTGGATGGATCTCGATACATCTCACTGTTCCTACATCTCAGACATCACCAGGATCTTTGAGCAGTTCTCAAAAGTGAATTCTAGTATTTTAGAAAGTGCTAGACATTTTAAAAATTATACTTCCAATGTTAGCGTATACACAGACCCTGTTGATTTAGTCTATACTGTTGAAACTATGGAGAATTACGCTGCTTTGCTTAGTTCGGAGTCTTTGAAGAATATTCTGATGGACGTTACAAGCAATTTAATGAACTTGCCTTGGGAGTATTTGAGGGATACAGATCAGAAGTTTAGGAGCTGTTCAAAGTTGGTTAATATTATGGAGAGTGTTTCTATAAGCAGTCCAGGATCATTGTTTCAAAGGGTATATATTATTTTATATTTAATGCTTGGAAAACATGTATTATATGTTTTTTTCTTCAGGAAAATATGATTATTGAGTCGTTTCCCATGACCAAAGAGGCGTTTTCTGGCATCAGATGTTCCTGGTTGGTCAATCCTTTGGACAAATTTGATTCTATATTTTCCTGCAACACAAATAACCTTCAAGATTCCAGAATATTACAAGGAAAGATTGTGGAAGCTTCTGTGATTATATCAGACGCCCTATTAAGTCAGGTTATGACAGAGGTACTTAAATATTAAATTTAATATAAGATTGTATAAAAATATTAATTATTTTTCTTTTAATTGTTATTATAGGGTACTGCAGTTCAAGAAAATTATAATTTACTGATATCAATGCTGAATTCCAGTAAATTTTTCCCTATTGATGATGAAAGGAAGGGTAAAGAAGGTGTTACATCTACCATAGTTGGTGTCAAATTAGGTAAGTAAAAAATCCATAAAAACTACGTTGCTTTTGAGCAGTTCTACTTTTTGGGCGATTTTTTAGAGTGACGTGGGGAAAATATCGATATTTCAAAATATATCGATACTTTTGACCATCTCTACTTTTTTGTAGGATTTTTAAAGTTGTTTCAGCAAAGCATTTAGTAGGATAATTGTCAATAAGCCTCTATTATTTTTAATTAACAGTCATCTGAATTTGTTACATTCTACAAAAATTAGAGATGTCCAAATATATCGATATTTTAAAAAATATCGATGTTTGTAATATAACTTATTCGTTATTTTTAGACGGTTTTCTTCGTCCTGACGTCACGCATCCCATTAAAATCACCATAAGGGCACCGCCATCCTCCTCTAGTGAAGTGACACCCTTCACACCAGTTCACTGGGATCAAATACTAGGCAGGTGGTCAACAGAGGGATGTAGATATGGTCATCACATCCAAGACCATGTGGTGTTCACTTGCAAACAACTGGGCTACTACGGGCTGCTACAAGACGTCACATATTTGAACGTCATGGTAAGCAAAGTAGTGAACATTTATTCTTTCATTACTCACTATTTATTTCTTCTTTTTTGTTGTAGAGTTAGAATGTTTATTTTTTTTTTCTTTCAGGACAATTCTAATGGATTTTTTCGACTGTCCCATCCGGCAATATACGTAGGAAACTCCATATTATTTCTCTCGCTCTTAATAGCGATCCTAACCTACATTTTGGGGTTCGCATCGATCCAAATGCCGAAAAAAGCCAAACACTGTCTGATCAACACTTGGACCTCTGTTGCCTTGCTTTGCTTCATGTACTCGTTCGGTATTTACCAAACTGAGGATCAGAAGCTCTGTCAAGCCATAGGGATGGTCCTGCATTATTTTTCCCTGTGCTCTATGCTGTGGATGTGCGTGGGGATCAATTCCATGTACAAAAGACTGAGCAAGAACACCGATTCGATCTTACAGGTAAGGGTTTTGAGCTTGATTTAATACCTTTTGATTTTTTTGCGGAAGGTGCAAAAATATCGATATATAAAAATATATCGATCCGTTTGACCATCCCTAGTTTTTTGGAGGTGAAAAAATAGAGATATGCAAAAATATCGACATTTTTTAGAGGTGAAAAAATTAGAAATATGCTGAAAAAGTCGATATTTCAAAATACATGGATATTTTTGATCATCTCTACTTTTTTGTAGGATTTTATAATTATTTCAGCGAGAATTGTTGAGAATCAAACGCTATATTTATATAATTGTCAAAATGCCTTTTTTATTTTTATTAAACAATCATCTAAATTTTTTACATTATTCAAATCGATTTTTTAATAGGGATGCCTAAATATATCGATATTTAAAAAAATATCAATACTTTTCGTATCGATATTTGAAAAAAATATCGATACTTTTGATCATCTATGGTCTTGGTCCTTTTTGAGGTTATTAATGCCTTAGCAAAGAATTGGGTAGCGAGAAATGCAAAATGGAATTGTCAAAAATTCTCTAATACCGTATGATCGAATAAAAACGGCGTCAGCGATGGCTATGAAATGAAGATCGCTGTCACTTTATATGTAAAATTATATGGGAAATGTCACCGATCGTCATTTCCAAGCCAACTGGACGCCGTTTTTTTTCGATCATACGGTATTTTTATAAACTGAGACATCCAAACATTTATATTTTTAAATAAAATATCGATATTTTTAACCTCTAGTTTTTATATCGATATTTTTGATCTGTAGATTTTTTCGAGGCTCTTCTTATTGATTAACCGGGTACGGAAACGCCAAATGGAATTAGAGATGTCTAAACATATCGATAATTATCGTGTCAATATTTGAAAAAATATCGATACTTTTGATCATCTATGGTTTTGGTCTTTTTTGAGGTTTTTAATGCCTTAACAAAAAAATTGGGTAGTGACAAACGCAAAATGAAATTGTCAAAAATTCTCTCATATTTTTAAAAACTGAAAAGTTAGAGACGTCCAAACATATTAACATATTTAAATAAAATATCGATATTTTTGACCTCCTCTAGTTTTTATATCGATATTTTTGATCTGCAGATTTTTTTGAGGCTCTTCTTATTGATTAACCAGGTATGGGAACGCCAATTGGAGTTAGAGATGTCTAAACATATCGATAATATTCGTATCGATATTTGAAAAAATATCGATACTTTTAATCATCTTGGGTTTTGGTCTTTTCTGAGCTTAATAATGCCTTAGTAAAGAATTGGGTAGCGAGAAACGCAAAATAGAATTGTCAAAAATTCTCTAATATTTTTATAAACTGGAAATTTAGAGACGTCCAAACATATTGACATTTTTAAATAAAATATCGATATTTTTGACCTCTAATTTTTATATCGATATTTTTGATCTGTATTGTTTTTTATTGTTTTTCTTAATGATTAAGCGGGTATGGGAATGCCAAATGGAACTAGAGATGTCTAAACATATCGATAATTTTCGTATCGATAGTCGAAAAATATCGATACTTTTGAACATCCTTATTTTTTCATATTTTTTTTAATTTGAGCTTATATTTTTTTTCAGGACGACGACCTACCGAGTGAACCACCCATAAAAAAGCCCGTCCTCGGCCTTTACCTAGTAGGATGGGGCGTAGCCCTGATAATATGCGGCCTACTGGCTGCCACCAACGTCCGAGAGTACTCTTCACCCTCGCACTGCTTCCTCAGATCCGGCCCAGCCCTAAGCGCCCTCTACGGCCCTTTTGCCGTGTTCTTGCTCTTCCTGATCGTGCATTTCCTATTAGTAAGGTGCGCTATTTACAATCTGGACTTGTCCCACGGTGGACATCTTAGTGAAGGAACTCAAGCCACCGAGCACGTAGATTTGGACCTGCTGGAACCGAATTTTTCCGGAAATCCCGATACGAGGAGCGTGAGAAGTTATTCTTCTAAGACTGCTTCGAGTGAGACGGAGGATAATGAGAGATCTCCTTTAGCTCAATTGAAGGCGTACGTGATTTTTTTGTTTTTGTTCCTGATCAGTTGGCTGAGCTGCGCTTTTGCCACTGTTCCGCCGCTGGAGTCTGTTCCCTACGAAGCCGATCTGTTCAGTGGAGCTTACGCTATCTGTTCCATCACTTTAAGCGCGTTTACTTTGTTTTATTACTGTGTGGCTAGAGTGGATATCAGGGCGCAGTGGATCATGATGTTCAGGTAAGGATATAGCGTAGTTTAGTATACAGGGTGTTTCAAAAAACATGTGCCATCTCTCGTGGGGAGATTCCTCACGTAACAATAAGATTTATTTTGATATTAACGTAAGTCCGATTCTGCTTTGTTTCGTTATATCGTTATATATATATATATATATTATAAGGTACACGAGTTATAATTGCCAAATAGCTTTTATTTATTATTAGGAAACGTGTAAAATTGTTGACAGATATTTTTCTCGTGGCTGAAATGCCGGCAGACAACGCGAAAGAGGCATAGAATTTTGACAAAAGAAAATCATCGCATACATGCATGTCGGTTGGTGGAATATCATGTTTATTGTTAATTAATTTAAAAAGCCGTATGCAAAAGGGCAGACAAAAAAAAATTTAATGGAATATTTTTTAAATTATTTGCAAAATTAGGTCCTTAAAAAGTTAACTTAATGGTAAAACACTCCGACCTAATAAAGGGATTTCCTGACATTATGTTGGCTACAAGATACTAACGATAAAATGTATCTATGTGTTTTATGCTCCAAGGTTGAAATATTTAAAAAACCTGATTATACAGGTGGATGAGGAGAAAAAGACTGTTACGTCCTAGAACAGTGTGCGACACACCTCCGAGAGTCCAAATTCAACCTCTACCACTTCCTCCTGTACCGAACAGCGAATCCAGGGCCGTATCCAGGTCTTCCAGCAGGAGTTCCGGCAGGACAAAGTCCAATTCTGGAAAAGCGGCAACTACTATCGATTTGAATGAGTCTATGAGCGATAGGCCTTCGATTGTGGGCGGTACCAAGATAAACAACGTCAATTTGGTACGTTTGATATGTCTAATTTCAGTTTAAGTACTTTTGTAACTTCCTTTATTATTAGATAACATTACATAGAGCACAGTACCGCTCAAACGTGGTACCTCACATAATAGAGAACCCGACCAATGCAGCTGAAGTGTTCTACAATCCTCACCAAAGCACTGTTGCCAGAAAGTTCTTCAAAAGACAGAGAAGGGACATGATGAAGAGGAACAATTTACAAACGAAACCTCCCAGGGACGTGAACAGCGATGCCACATCAGTCTTTTCGGAACCAAGACCTTTGAAGAGCAAGACCAACGCTGAACAGAACATGAACATGTTTGGAACAAATTCTAAGGTAAAATCTTTGTTATTATTGGTTTATTTTTTATTTTTTAGTGTTTTTATTATTATAGTTTTAAATTTATTTGAACTACTAGGTTTTGAAATTCGGGGATTACACTGCTCTACTAAAAGACAGAGGGGTAAGTAGATATGTAATGATTTGGATGTCCTAACATTGTTGTAACAATTTCAAACAAGTCTATTTTAACTTGAGTGTTATTTTTTGTCATAGTGCTTAATTGTGAAGCTTATAATTATTTTTTTCTTAAATATTTTTGAACAATTTTAATGTATTTTTTTATATTTTTTGCGCTTAGTAGGGCAGTGTATTGTTAACGCTCGCTCGAACTCACTGACGACCAGGTCGCAACGACCTGGCCGGATGTATTGCGTTTTTAGCAGAGTAAGTAGATCGCCGAGTAGTGACAGAAACCGTCGGCCTTTTGATGTGGTGGGACCAAATTTTCTTTCTCTCTCTTTTGACGTGTTTGACAGATAGACTACGTATTTAACTGCTCAACTTATGAAGTGGTCCTATAAACATGGTATACACTGCTCATAATTTGAAGTGAAATTAATTATAAAGTTTTATTCATATTTTTTTTGTTTCGTTTTATCCTTATTTCTAAATTTGAATGTATAAAATATCGTACAGCTAATAAATAATTAAAAAAACGATTCGTTGCCTGATGTATACTTGAAATGAAGTATATAGAGATATTTGATAAATGGCAACAGTGGCAACTTCGCTTCTTCATATGACAGATAACCTACTTATTTCGCGCAGCCGCAAAGAAAATTGAAAACGGGACTGTCGCTACTTGTCGGTTTAGTTTACTCCACAGAATATACTAACGAAAAAGAAGCCCAAGTCCCTTGTAATAAATCGGTTCCATTTTCGTAACGCCATCTCTCGACAAAGCTGACATTTACTGGATAGCCAAAGGGGTGCGGGGCCGGGGGGAATTGTAAAATACACTTTATTATTTTAATTATTTTTATTGGCTATTTGTAATTTTATTTTTAAAACATATTATCTGAAACAATCACATAATATGTCTTAAAAATAAAATTACAAACGGAAACAAAAGGAATTAAATAATCTGAAAATCTACAAAGTTTATTGATAAAAAAGTTAGGCTATGCAAATTGATATATTAAGTATAACCTCTTTGGTATAACATTGTTAAACAAACATTAACAAATCATAACATATCAGATCATAGAACTAAAAAAAGTATTATTACATAAAAACAGGTGATACAATACTTCAAAATTAATTTTAACATAATATCAAAACCGAATCAAACTGCAAACACAACCACACTTATCACAACAGAAATTAACACACACTTCCGCGGCAAATATGCAAGAAAGACTGATCATTCTGATTGGTCCTGGTCCGGTCGTAGCTCACGTCGTATTGTCGGTAAGCAAAATCCCTGTCCAAAAATCTTGACGATCAGCGCCATCACCCGTCATAATTGGGAAACTTTTGATGGAACCATTTTGAATATTTCACTTACATGACCCTGGTTTACTCTGTTTTTAGCTGCGGCCAGATGAACGACCAGTTTCAACAGAGTTGTCAAATCTAACGATTTTTTACGTTTTACCGATTAGAAAATATTGTTTCAGAAATGTTAAAATACCCGAGTTAACTAAAAAGCGAAGTTGCTATTCAGAACAAACAAAAAGCATTGTGTACGCGCGACCGACAAAAAGGGAGATATTCTGTTTCTTATTTCTACTGATATGGCGCTCTTATCGACTTTAGAAGTAAACATATTAGGGCCATCGTAAAAAAAGATCGTCAGACACTGACTCTAAATATAAGCAGGTAGAAAGTTTAGCTTCCAGTTATTTCAATGTTTACAATATAACGAAGAATCTACAACAGTAATTACTTCTATTTTTATGAATGTTTAAGTTACTTTCTTAATTTTTTTTTTCAAAATAATGTACCTAGTAGAAAAATAGTTTAATGAACCCTGTTTGAAAAACGTTGAATTAAATATCATATTTAAAATACAGTTGTCCTCCTTGTACATGACTACAATACAACTAAAAAAACTAATTTAATAAAAAAAAACAAGTGGTTGTAGAAAAACTTTAAATATTTTTTTTTTTTTTTTTAACATCGAAACTCAAAGGTATAATAACAGGTATCATACCAACCATAAATAGAGTATGTCATATAAAAATGTTTCGAGCTTTTACTAGAATCGACCCTTGATAAAAAAGGGATTAGATTTAAGTTTACCTTTGATCCAGTCTGTATACTATTTTTTTAGTTTTTTTTAATTAATTTAAAAAAGTAAAAAGCTCATTGATCATGTATTAGTTAAATTCTTACGATTATTAAAGGAAATAAGATTTAGGATTGGCAGAATTCAAAATATTGTACTAAAAGAACAAATGTTTCTCTTAAAAAATGATTAATTTTATTTATTACCTTTTCTAACATATTTATATTGTAAAAAACATTGTTGAAAGTGATCTTGATGAAGTTTTATTTTTCTATAACTCTCTCTCTATGCAGTTCCATTTTACAAAGTTACTGTTTGTTATTTCTGTGAAACCTGGATGTTTTACAGACCCTAAAAATATAAAAACATTTACTAAAAGAAAAAATGAATGTACGTAGATTAAAGTCATTCGTTCTTAGAAAATAAAAAAAAACATTGTATAAGGAACCTATGTGATTATGAGAGGTGTATTGTTGTTTTATACGAATTTCTGCATCCATGTAATAAGAAACTATAAGATTTTGATCGCTAGACATACGTACTGCACAATCAAGTTAACTTTAGACAGTAACAGTAAAACTAAGCTTTCTTGATTGTAAAACCACACGATTAGAGATCACTTTTATAGCTGAACCTACCTTTGTTTTGCACAAGTCCTGCAAGCTTACAGTATCTCACAAACTAGGCACGTAACGTGGTCAACTTTCTAACCACATTTCTATGAGTATTTCTATCGTTCTCTGTTAATTATTCGACATATATCTTGAATTTGGCTTCGGCAGTAGTCAATTCGGTATCTTCAAACAGGCAATTGGTATTTTTAGGCCTTCATGATGTGGGGCACTCTTACGAAGTAGCACTTGTTTCTTGTTTTAGTATTATTTATAGCTGAACACTGGAAAGGGATCACATACCTCGTTAAAATTTAGCTGTATTGTATCCCGATGTTTAATAAATCGGTTTTTATTCGCGTTTTGTTGCTCTTTTTGATAATATTCGATTACCCGCCAACTGTCCATTGTGAGAAATTGAAATGTCATTTCGTTTGGGTTTCTAAAATTTCCAAAAAATATTACTTTTCGATGAAATACGTTATGAAAAATATCCAAAATGATCCTATCTTTAATTTACCTTCAATTTGATGTATATATCGAAGCCATAATTTACCGTTTTTAGCAAATTTTTCGAAAAAATAATTATGAAACTTAGGCAACCAGTAAAACATTTTTGGTTTATGTCATGCCTTAATATCTCACCGGTCAATCCCGACATAAAATAAGTACATATACAAAAAACAAAAGAATTTTAATTGGGATTCGCAGATGTGGCGTGCGATGTAGACTCTAATCCTAACTTTCTGGCGCTTGAGGAATGCGACGTTATGGGAACTGGCCAGCCCATAATTTAGCCCTCTTGAGTTGTTGTTAGAGAATTGTCTGCAGTCGTACGATTTCTGTCAAGGTAGTCTAATGATGACGAGGCGCCGGTCAATTCTACCACGAAATTCCGCATTCTCAGGTACCTTCGTTTACGGGGGGGATTGTTAAGATTCGTCTAGTCGGAGAGACGACGCTTGCAATTCACCCCGTAAATGCTAGGAGTTATAAACTTGGGAATGTTTTTTGCCATTTTTTTTTTTCAAATTTCGTTTTAATTAAAGGCATTTTTAAAAAGCTTATTACTTGGTTTTAAAACATGCTGAGGCAGCAAAAAAAATCATCCAAATAATTTAATTTTTTTCACTTTTTTATTGATTTGCTCCATAAAATTCCATATAGACATCCGATTTTTTTCCCTTGATAAATCCTTTTCTCTATTTCTCTGTCATCAGTTCCAGTGTTATCAAATATAATTCCCAGGTATTCATACTCTTGACACTGAGTAATTTCTTGACCGTTGTCCAAGTTCAAATTTCCTTCTTGTGCGCCTATACATAGATATTTTGTTTTGTCTATGTTAACTATCAAGCCCCGTTCTCCGTATTCTTCAGTAAGTTTTCTGAGCATATATTGCATATCATCTTTGTCGTTGGCGACTATTATTTGATCGTCTGCAAATTGAAGTGTGAACAAACATTTATTGTCAGTCTCTATGCCCATACCACGGATCTTTCTTTTCCAATTTTTTAAAGCGACTGCAACGTATATTTTAAAGAGAGTAGAATTAACATTGATAAATTTCAAGCCACAGGTTGGTTACAGGATATTTAAGATAATTACAAAAAAAATATATTTAAAAAAATAATATCGTGTATCTCTAAAACTACGCAATTCCGTACTCATTTATAGGAACTTTTTTCCATATTATATTTTAATAACCTGTACGTAGCCCTGTATTTAGAGAACCAAACATTGTATTTGTGTAGGTAAACAACACGAATATTCATGTGGAACACGTTAGAAGATCTCAAAAGAAAAATCCGAATATTTTTTCGGACAGCGGAGACGATTTCGATTGCATCAGTGACGTGCCCATAGACAAGATCGTCATCAATGCAGAAAGACTAAGAAAAAAAGGTAGGTCACCATATTTTGTCACCATTCACCATCTCCATTGTTTTTAGGGTTCCGTACCCAAAGGGTAAAAACGGGGAACCCCCAATTACTAAGACTTTGCTGTCCGTCCGTCCGTCCGTCTGTCACAAAGGTCTATCTTATGAACCGTTATAGCTAGACAGTTGAAATTTTTACAGATAATGTATCTATGTTGCCGCTATAAGAACAAATACTAAAAACAGAGTTAAATAAATGTTTATAAATAAAAAAGTACTTTCACTAAACAAAAAGTCGTCGTTGGCCGCGTGGTTAAAGCATTAGGACTTTACGCTGCTATGACGTTGGAGCCGTAGTAAAGCAGGTTCGAATCCTAGTCAAGGCGACTTTTTTTTTAATCGTTTTTTTTAATACATATTTATTTTTACTTTTTACATATTTATTATTGATTAATACAATTTTTAGTAATGTGTTTCTTCATTTTTTTTTAAATTACTTATACGCGCATTCAAAATTTCAGCTTAATCGGAAAAAAAGTTTATAATAATATTAGTGTCTAATGTTGTATAGATAATGAATGGTACGGAACCCTTCGTGCGCGAGTCTGACTCGTACTTGACCAATTTTTTTAAGAAAGTCAAATGTTAAAATAATAATAATTTGCTACAATACACTACTTTTTTTTCAGAAATCTCGAGAAACCGTACCAAAAAAAAATCGAATCTCACTCAAGAAGTACCGCATCATCACCACCCTAATCATCAAACACCGCAAATGCGTACCATTTCCCAGCAATGTACTTTGGACTACAGTTCGGAGAACCCTTTGTCTGACTCAATCTTGGACAAAAGCGACCTAACATCACCCTTGTCACCCACCAAAATTCTACCAGTATCCATAAAGCTGACAAAGGACAATATTATTGAAGAAGGGTGCGGTGTAGCTATGGAAACGTCTATGGCTGCGGATACTACAGTTCATTTAAGTACCAGGTAAGTTTTTATAGAGAATTTAGAAAAAATATTTGGGTACCTAGCTTGGTCTTAACAATATATGATCTTATTTACCTTATACACCCTGTATAACATCTATATTTTACTTCCAGACGCGAGAATAGCCCTGTTGACGAAGCGCATCACTACGCAGAAATCGAAGAACTCAGAAGTAGCGAATCCACGATCAGAGGTGGAAGATTCGGTTTAGGAGGCAAAGACAGCTCACTCGCCAGGTATTCCTTCAATTCCTGACAGAACTAGAACACGTTATTTAAATATTTGTTTCTTACTGAATTAATATAAGCTTCTGTGTTAGTGAAACAGCCTTGATACACACGAATAACTATTTTAAACAGGCTTAGGTCACCCTCGAACATGTCCAGAGTCAGTAGCGCCTCAGCAACGGACTTGGACGAGCTCTACCAGCAAATAAGGCGGGGTCCTGCCAACTGTAGGTCGCGCAAGGGTCAGCATTTCGGTGCTGGAGACGACGCAAGACCACAGAGGGCGTATTCCAGTCCTTTCTTGTCCGATTCCGAGGCGACAGGCTTCTCAGATATGACCAGGAATCGCGAAGAAATTTTGACAGGATCGGCTGACGTGGAGACTACTGTGTAGAGTGAATTGTAAGGTTAGGGTAGGTAGGGTATTATACGAATCTCGTTGGTTGATGTGTGACCTTGTTGTCAGATTTATGTTATATATGTTACAGTGAAAGTCGGAAATTCATTATATTGCAAAAATGAAAAACAAGCACTATTACATTCTAGCGAGTGCCTAGTTTACCTTAATTTTTCGCAGAAAGTTTCTTCCATAGGGAAAATACCGCATGACACTTTTTACAACGATAACAAAACAATTATATATGACCACAAACAACAAAGCGAATTTACGCCAGATGTATGCCAACGTTGCCAACGTTTAGCCCAATTTAATGTTATCCTTATACTGCCTATTATCAACGAAATGTTAAGATATATGGAATGGGTCTGCCCCGTATCGATCGATGTTAGAATGAGACAGACAAGAAGGATAGCGATAGTCAGGGCAGAAAATGGCTTCTTGTCATTAAAACCGTGTGTTTTTGTCCGTTTTTGGTGCATGTTTTTAGAGATTTTTGAGTGTATTTTTGTTTCTGGTGGAGTTTGGTTTGAAAAACATTTTCAAAAAAAATACACCGTTTGAAAGAAAATATATAAAACAACATATTTTCTGACGATTATAATTTCTCGGGAATGAAGATATAGTCTCTATATCAGAAGAACCTAGTTCCTAGTTCTGCACTACACTGCGAATGTTTTCTTTTGTCACTTATACATAAATTTTAAAATTTTAGTTTAGCGGTCTAATGGATTCACATGAAATAACTTTTTTCCGATTTTTCTCGATTTATTATCTGTTATATGTTATAGAAATATTTTTTATAGTTTTCTAAGACACATTTTTATAACTTTTACAGTTATTTTTTTATTTATTATAAAGTTTCGATAAAATCATTTTTTTTGATTTAAATCACATGGTTAAAATTTAAAAAAATCACTTGATTTAAATCACGATTTAAAGGCCGGGGCCATTCCATGTATCTTAACATTTCGTTGCCTATTATTCAACTTATCCTTATATTTAATTTTAAAAATTAAAATTAAATTAAACATGTGGCAACCAAGCTAACTGAATCTTTCAAACTCACTGCTACCGTCCAGGGAATGCTAGCATTCACTAGTAAAAGTTGGCTTCAAAAAGTTGAACTTTTACTGGCGTAGTCTTAGCAAATCAGTGAATGGGTGAGCTTTTACTAGTAATTGTTAACAATCTAACTGATTTCCAACTTTTACTGTAACATATATACAAAATTCTGTGTCTGTTTTGCATGAAGGTGCGTAGATTCTAACTGAAAAAAATATATTTTTTCAGGATTATTATTATTAAGAAATAAATAATTCTGAAAAAAATAAGGTCATGCCTCAATTAAAACTGAATCTTCTGGTATAACCACGAACATTAGAAGATATAGAGCGGCTGGTCTGTTTAAAACGCCTCTATACCAACTTATTTCTTTGGAAACTGCCCATCTATAATTTCTAATGTCGATGGTAGTAAAATTTTAGAAAATTGTGCGATGTACGCTATTATAATTTGCCTTGGTAGATTTTGAAGAGTTTCCGAGCAAAAAAAAAATATACGAATATTTTAGGGAATTTTTGGACTAATTGTTAAGAAAAAAAGGCATCTATCGGCAAGTGTTGTGTAGCTTAAGTGAAAACGCGCTCTCTATTTAACGGAAAAAGTGGTTGATATTATTCGAGATCATACTGTAGAAGCTGTTATATTGGTAGATTTACCGATATATAGTCTATAAAATGAATAACTTTGAATTTTGACCGTTATTTCTTACCAACACGGCAAATATAAAATCCCTCTGTCAAAAAAGTTACTGATATTCTTTAAATTGAGTGCCTGAACGAATCAGATAGGTAACTCTTTTTACTTTCGCGAAATAGAAAAGGAAAATAATAAGTAGTGACAGTTTTTCCTCTTCTTCCAAAAATCAACCCGAAATGTCATAATTGTCAAAGGTAAAATGTCATCAGCTTTTGGCATTTCTATGGCATTTCTAAATATCAAACCAATGCCGTCTCTAATAGAACAGCCTCGGAGCGAGATTTATGACGTCACGCTAGTTAGATACTATGGATTAATAAATATGTTGTAGAATACATGGAAAACATAACTATTCCTCGTATTTTTGGTTTGTATTTTAAAATCAAAGTTTGTTTTTCAAATACAAACCAAAAATACGAAGAATAATTATGTTTTCCATGTATTCTACAACGTATTTATTAATCCGTAGTATCTAACTAGCGTGACGTCATAAATCCCGCTCAGAGGCTGTTCTATTAGAGACGGCATTGCGTCAGCATGGCCGCAAGTTGCTAACCTAATAGAATAAACACTAAAAAAGCCCGCGGGAACTGTCAAATTCAAAGTTATTCATTTCACAGACTATATCAGTTTATATGGCGAAAAAAAATATTTAAATATATAAAAAAGCGAAAATTAAAATGAACTGTATATGTTAAGGAATGCTCAAAGTGTGCAATTATTACTGCTTGTATTTGACTGTACTTATTTATTTTTCTTCCTGTATTACATTGAAAAAAAAATGTTTTTTTAATATAACATTTCAGACATTATATGTGTGAAATTTTATATTAAAAAAAATAAAGATTTTTTCTATTGCCATTGTATTATATTATTTTCTTCTAACTGCATTTGTCTTGAGTATATGAAAATCTGTGATATAATAAAATGTATTAGCCTATATAAATAAATAGTTTTTTTCAAAGATTCATTAATGAAATGAAACATTTTTTTTATATTTATAACCTTTATCTGATATTTTCTTGAAGTAACAATATTATACAAAGTACTAAAAATATATTATTGTTTTGATTTAAAGAAACGAGTGTTGAAATTACGGAATTTTTTGATTTGGAAAATTTTGACGAAATAAATATTTTGAACGATACAGTGGGGTCAACGATAGATAATTTTTTCGTATCGGGACACAAATAAAATCCAAAATAATTGTTTTAATCAATTATGCACCATTATTTTTGGAAGTAAACATAGATAGGTCAGGATTTGGTTAGTTATAACGAGTTTCGAGTGCATGGTTTTTGATTATAGCGGCAAAACATTCAAAAAAATATGATAATGTTAATTTAAAGGTTATTTAACCCGATTCTGATTGTTTGGGAGTATAAAAAAATATTTATTTCATTTTTGAACTTTGTTAAATTTGTGTACTTATTTTACACATAGAAAAAAAAACGTATACATCCTTTTGATATTGGGAGAATTTTAACTTTAGTTAGTTAGAAATTATTATTAAGCTTTTGCCTTATCGTAGACGTAAAGGTGTTCTTTGAATTAACCGAGAGATATACAGGGTGTACCTCAAAAAGGTACCCACAGAGAACAAAATATTTAGGGAAAAAATAAATTACACCCTGGAGGAGTATTACTATTATTTACATATTTTTGGTTGTCATTTTGTTCATTTTTGATCTGGTTACGTTTAAAGTTGATTCAAAGGACCAAAAAAGTAATTAAAGTATCCAAAATGTACAACATATTGATGTAAAGACTGTTGAAATAAGAGTATTTTAAAACCAATTAAATATAGTTATATTTGTGAGAAATAAAACATATATAATAAAATATATATACAACAAAAAAAATGATTGTTTTTATTTGATATTTAAGTCCTAGTAAAAACCTTTCGAAAATTGAACTATAGGGTCAAATGGTAGGTGTAAAAAAGAGACAACATATTTAGGTAAAAAGTGAGACATTCAAATAAAAAAAACTATTGGACACTAACTGAAATTTAAGTTTCCCGCTAGCGATTCAGGTTGCCAGATTTATTTATTTATTTCCTGACATTGTCTTTCGTTTTGACACTTTGTATTACGAGTTTTTGGTTTAAGTGTTTATATGTTTATTATTAATTCAAGGCAATGCTGTGCCTGTTAAGCTTAATGTAATTATTTTACACTTTGCAACGATGTGTAATTTTTCTGTATTTTGATTTTTGAATCATATTGCCTTAAAGACTGTTTAAATAAAACGATTTTAAAAACAATTAAACAGATATATTTGCGTGAAAAAAAAACGTGTATAATAAAATATATATACAACAAAAAAGTTTTAGTAAATTCTTCGAGGCTTTAGCGGTATCATGAAGGAATACTGTTGATCGTATTGACAATGATTTCTATCGATTGGTACAATTCTTCTTCGGTAATAACCAGGGCTGGTGCAAATCTTATCACGTCTTCGTGAGTTTGTTTGGCTATTAGACCGTTTTCTTTTAATTTCAGACATACGTTCCAGGCATCGGCATAATCTGAAATATCAAAAAAAGAGAGTAATATAGTTCAAATAGTAATACATTGAAATCGTGAGTTTTTTTGAATCACTATACACAGTTGCTCCAAAATAAGTACAAGGATATATATAATAGGAGAATAGTCAATTCTGGTAATGTTGCTAAAGAAACATGGTCTATTGTGAATGAGTTGAGAAACAAAGCTTCTTCGTCTAGCAATATCTCTGCCTCACCTGAGAACCTTAACGATTACTTTGTAAATGTAGCGAAAAACTTAACTAATACCATATGTCCTCCTCATGATCCACTTTCTTATCTCTCTAATGATATTGTAAACTTACACAGTTTCTTTTTTTCGCCCGTAGTTTTAGAATACAGTACAATTAATACCATCAAAAATAAATCATCTTCTGGGACCGACGGGCTAACTTTAAAAATGTTTTCTGCACTCTGAATCACCTAACAACTTTAATAAACATGTCGTTCCAAAATGGTATTTTTCCAAAATGTCTTAAGACGGCAATAATCATTCCTCTGCATAAAGGAGAAGACAAAGATGAAGCTTCTAACTATCGCCCAATTGCACTCCTTCCAACGCTATCTAAGATCATAGAAAGGTTGGTTAAAAGAAGGCTGGTATCTTTTCTGTTTAAGTACAAAATACTTACTGAATATCAATTTGGATTTCTAAGCAACAAGTCCACAAATGATGCTATGTTTTCCCTCCTTAATAAAGTTTACTCCAGCCTAAACAACCATCATTCTACAGCAACAATTTTCTGTGATTTTTCTAAGGCGTTCGATTGTGTAAATCATAAGATCTTAATTAATAAACTGCAGCACTATGGGTTCAGGGGATCATCTCTCGAATGGTTTAAGTCGTATATGAGGAACAGAAGTCAACTTGTGAGGGTGGATACCACGTTGTCTTATAGCAAGCCAATAGAATGTGGAGTACCACAAGGCTCAGTACTAGGCCCTATTTTGTTTCTTCTTTTTATTAACGACATTGCTAACATAAACATCAGTGGCAAAATATGTCTTTTGAGGGGACGACACTAGCTTCACTTGGAGCAACAAGGACGTCACGGCACTTCATAGGATTATATCAAATGACTTAATCACCATTAAATCTTTCTTCTTTGCGATTCACGACCTCCTGAGTCTCAACATCTCTAAAACTAAAGCTTTGTCGTATAAAAGCTCGTTGCAGCCTTTTGTACTTAACAACACCACCATTGACGTCGTCAAATCTGTAAAATTCTTAGGGCTTGTTGTGGACAATTCTCTGAAATGGGACATACATATCGAAGCTTTGTCGAAAAAATTGAGCTCTGCCTGTTTTGCATTAAGGTCTGTTTCTAAGGAGCTTAACTTGTCAGTGGCTAGAACTGTTTATTATGCACTTTTTGAGTCGCACCTCAGGTATGCCCTTCCATTCTGGGGTGCGTGTTGTGCGACTCAATTTGACCGCATTTTCAGGCTCCAGAAGAGAGCTGTTCGATATTCACTGGGACTAAACAGAAGAACTCATTGCCGGGACTTAAAAAATTAAAAATATTGACTATTCCTTTCCTATTTATATTTGAATCCGTTTGCCTAATACGTAAACATGTATCAGCTTCTCAAGAAAGGCCATCTCACACTTATCCACTCAGGAACGCGGAGCAAGATCTTTATCTACCTACCCCACGCTCAGAGTTAGTTAAAAGTTCAATATTATATCGAAAAAAATGCACAATACCATTTGAAATCAAATCCATAACATCATTTTTTCATTTCGCAAAGCATTGAACTCTTATTTACTAGACAAGGCTTTCTACGCCGTAAATGAATTATATTTTGAAAATCAAATTTGATCTTGTAAACACTGGTCTAATGTTTGCTATTGCTATATTTACTAATGACATCGAAATGAATTTATTTAGAGGTCATTGATATTTTACTATAAACTAGCTAAATATTTTTAAATATTATTTCTATTTTTTTTTTGTTTTTTGAAATTATAAACATTTATAAATGTTTATTTTAACAATAAGACTGACAATATTATTTGTATAATGTTTTGTATTATCTTTTGTTTGTTTGTTTGTGTACCTTGTTTTTTACTTTGAAAAAAACTTAATAGCGTACCATACCTGTTGGCTACAAATTGGTGTCAAAATATTCTACTAACTAAAATTCTTGCACTTTATTTAGAGAAACCCTGTACTTACTTCTATTGCAATTTTCACCATAACTTACTTCTATTGATCACGACAGCGTTCATCAAACCCTTCCCTCTTATCTCAATGATCACCTTCTTGTTCAACCGACTGTTCAGCTCACTCCGAAAAATATCACCCAGCTTCGCAGCGTTCGCCGCTATTTTCTCATTTTCCAACACATCCAAGGCCGCTATGGCAACCTTGCAAGCCAGGGGATTCCCGCCGAACGTCGAACCGTGAGTCCCCGGCTCGATCACAAGCATCACGGGGTCGTTTGCCAGGGCTGCCGAGACTGGATAAACGCCGCCGCCCAGGGCTTTGCCTAGGACTAGGATGTCTGGAAGGACGTTTTCGTGATCTATGGCCAGGCGTTTTCCGGTTCTTCCCAGACCGGTCTGGATCTCGTCCGCTATCCAGAGGACGTTGTATTTGTCGCAAAGCTGTCTGATTCCTTTGAGGTAGCCTTCGTCGGGCACTTTGATGCCTGCCTCTCCTTGGATGGGCTCGACCATAAAACCGCAGACGTGTGGATCAGAGAGAGCTGTCTGAAAACGTTTTAGAAAGAAAAATAAGTGCACTGTCTCAAAACAACACAAAAGCTATCAGGAGGAGAGGAGTCGTCAGAATTAAAATCGATCAAGTCCAATTTCCTACTATTTTATTTATTAAAATACTAGCGTGTACCAGCGACTTCGTTCGCGTCGAATTTAATCATTTGTAATGATGATGATAAAGCAAAGCAAGAATTTCCATTAACATACAAACTGGATAAAATTTTCTCACATTTATGTCAGCATGAGAAAAAACAATATGGCGATATTATTATATAACTTGGTAATATTTGAGAGGTAGTTTCATCTCGTTGGAATTTGACTTTCGAAAAATCCGTTTGCCAAAAAGTTTTGAGTTACTTTAGTCAAAGCTTTAATTTGTAATTATACAATTTAAAATATATTAAAGCATTATGTCAAGTTTTCTTCTCCAGCTTGTTTTATTTTAATTAGGTAACATTAAAAAACTTTAACTCTCATTTTCACCATAATTATCTTATAGGACTTGATCCAGTTCACGTCTGAACCCTCATATATTCAAGAGTATCATATAATATATACTGTAATACATTATATCCACAACTCACAGCTCATCAACAAAATTTTTACGAATATTTCAACATAGAGAAAGAAACGTTGAAGCATATTTTCAACAAAATTGAAAACCGCTTAACAAAATGCGGCAATTTTCAAAATATAAAATGCTAATGTTTATCTGTGTCGTCTCTACTGAAGTAACGACTTGCTCTAGAAAGTTGCTTTTTTTACTAAAAGTTATCTAATTGGCTCTTCTAAAAACTGTCGTCGCCGGATTTTTTGTTTTTCATTTAATTAAACAAGAAATAAGAAATGTTTTTTTTTCCTGTTGTGGCGGATGCGCCAGGCTTCAACTAGTTATTAATATTTTCTTAAGTAAATAGCTTAAATTAAGTATTTACAAACAAGGTTTTACTTGATACGTTATTCTAACTGAACAGGTAATAATAACCGACAGGTAAAATTTTACGTGTAGACTAGGCCTAAAACTATTTTTTGGGGTTGGGACATTTGAACTACTCGCTTTAAGACGGGTCGTAGACGGTAGGGAGTGTCGTACGACATGTATGGAAGTCAAGTATGAAATCTAAAGATTACCTCGAGCGCTTTAAGGTCATTAAAAGGGACACAGGAAAAGCCGGGCATGTATGGTCCGTAGCCTTCAAAACTCGAAGGGTCAGTAGATGCGGAGACAGCAGCTAGGGATCTACCCCAAAAATTGTCACTGCAAAATATAATCTTAGCCTGGTTGTTAGGGATTTTTTTCTTCCTGTATCCCCATTTTCTGGCAAGTTTACAAGCGGTATCATCTGCTTCGACACCTGGAAAAATGAAAATATTAAAGATATTGAAAACTATACAGACATAAATATATACCTGTGTTCATTGGCAGTACTTTATCGTAGCCGAATAATTTAGTGATTTTTTCCGCATACTCTCCAAGAACATCATTGAAAAATGCCCTGGATGTGTGATGTAAAATTCCCGCTTGTGTTCTGAGGGCTTCTACTATTTTTGGATGGCAGTGGCCGAAGTTGTTGGCTGAATATCCGCTGAGATAATCGAAGTATTTTTTGCCCTCCACATCCCATACGACTGCACCTAAAATTTAAAAGATTTTTACCATTTAAATAAAAAAAAGTATCAGTAAAATCAAGCTCAAAAAAATATAGAATAGCTACAACCCTACCTCTACATATAGTTTCATTCAAGTAAGAAATTACAGTTTGTTTTTGTGAAAAAAAAATTCAATAGAGTGTTTTTAGGGTTGTTTACAGGGTGTTTCAAAAAACAGGTGCCATCCCTCGTGGGGAGATTCCTCACGTAAAAATAAGAATTATTTTCATATCAACATAGCTCCGATTCTGCTATGTTTTGTAGCTACAGGGTGTTAAAGTCTTTATATTTTTTCGATTTATTACAATTTTCTTGCATGTACTTTTAGCGTTTCGAATGAAATTTTGGGGGTAAAACTTACTATAAATGCGACATATTTTAAAGCTAAAAAAGTCTAGACATATTCACCAGGACCGTGCATATGGGTTATCACTGGAATATTTTTCTAAAAAAAGCATGTACGCCACTGACTTTTTTTCTCGTTAGTGAAATAGTGTAAGCACTTTAATGCCGATTAAAAATTGTCTCTTGATATTTTGTCGATTTCGGCCTCCTTGATGAGATAAACGCAATTTTATTAATTTGCCTTGATCCAAGTCTATATTAGCAACCTTAAAAATTTTAATATAACTTTAACTTGCGAAAGTTTCAAATAAGTACTCATTGATTCCTCATCAAAAAATATGAAAAAAAGTGCCTATAAACATGGGTATGGAAATGCATAGTTTTAGAGTTAAAGATTTTTAAAATTAGTTTTTTTTGTAATTATTTTAAATACCATTATCTTTTTATTAGAAATTGCTGAATGTTGGACTAATAGTAATAATATTTAATAATAAATTAAGTAAAATATATAATTTATTTATTTTATTTTTATTCTAATTTTATTAATTGTGATCATAATTGTGATCAAGAAAATTTCGACAAAATATCTTGATATTTTGTTAGATAACTTTTAATTGGCATTAAACGGCCTACACAATTTTGATATCAAAAGAGAAAAGTCAGTGGCGCACATGTTTTTTTTTTGAAAAATATTCCAATGATAACCCATATGCACGTCCTTGATGAATTTATCGACACTTTTTTAGCATTAAAAATTAAAATATGTAGCACTTATAGTAACTTTTGCCCATAAAATTTTCACTCGATCACTAAAAGAACTTGGAAGAAAATTTTAATAAATCGAAAGATTATTAAGATTTTAACACCCTGTAGCTACAAAACAAAGCAGAATCAGATCTATGTTGATATGAAAAATAAATTTTATTTTTACGTAAGGAATCTCCCCACGAGAGATGGCACATGTTTTTTGTAACATCCTGTATACTACAAGTTAAAATACTTGCTTTTTTAAGGGACATTCAGTACCAATATTACAATGAGAGTTAATTTAGCTTCTTAGATAACAATTTTTTTTAAATCAACGCTTCTTTGTTGAAAAAAAATCTTTTTAAAATGATTTTTTAAAAGAATAAAATTTCCTCAAAGATTATGAGTACATGTCATCCGCTTATACGAAGCCTTAAATAACTTAATGTCTAGATAAATCATAAGTATCACACTAATACAAATAATTTCAAGTATTTGTAGAAGGTACCTCCACAACTTCCTGCATTTGAAACAAAAAACACTTGATGATAATGTCATGTGAAAGATTCATTGACTTTGATTTAAATACACACGAGCATCTTATTTATTACAAATAATTATATAATTCAATATTAATTATACCTATTATATTTAGAATTATTACCTTTTAGAATAAAATATAAAAAATAATAAATTGATTTGGTTGTGAAGTACTAACCTTTTGCTTTGGATAGTACTACCGGTAATGGATGGTAATTATGCGCGGCATATTTCTCCTCCTTTGCTATAACTTCTTGTGACGAAATACTCCTCAACGAGTCTTTTTGGACACTTTTGACCAGCCTGGTACAAGTACGATACTTGGAAAGCATTTTAACGGTGTCCTGTAAAGGTAAATGCACTTTTTCGCTTCACTGTATAACAGGTTTAGTCGTCCACAACAAATAACAATTTAAAACCGATTTATATATAGTTTTTTTTTATCTCTCAGGCACCGGATTAAACAATTAAATGAAGTTAATTTGGAATTATCAACAGGTTTGAGTCAAAATTATCAACACAACAGACAATAATTAAGAATAAAAGTGGTCGTAAACAAATTATTATTCCAAAATGTTAAACGAGTTGGCTAGAGTAAACATAACACTTATTCAGTTTTTTTTTTGTATTATGCAAACATGCATGCGTATTGGTAAGAGGTCAGCTACTTTCATACGTGCACGTGCACTGTGTTGTAAAAAATCTAGCAATGAAACATATACCTATTCAGTAAAATATAAAGAATCACTATAAGAACGTCGAAAATCAACAACAAAATGTATATGAATGAAACAAAAAAAATGTATATAAAATATAAATAACAGAGAGACATGCTAATATACAGGGTGTCTCCTAAACAAGTACATAGATTTTAAGAAAAGGTAGACCTGGAAAAATGTAACATTTTTTTAACCGGGCTATTTTTAATTTTAAAAATTTAGGAAAAACAATGCTTATATTTTAAGAATCGCTGGTATATACCGGCTTATTCGATGCCCTGTATACGACATTTATTTGTATTACGACGCTCTGTATACTAGGGTGCACCAAACATTTTTTTTCTTTTTAGTTACTATGAAAATATCGTTCAGGATGATGAGAAAAAAAATGCTGGTAAAGTTTGAATTTTAAAACTAATATTAAGAGGGGAAACAATTTTTTTTTGTATTTTATTCGGTCCTAACAAATCAGCGTTTGGTAAAAATCAAAACATATTCTTGTAGAAAATTGAACGGTATTCAAAAAAGGTCTGATATAAATTTTCACTTAATCGACTCCTTTGAAAGTTATTGAAGTTCAAAACTTCAAATCGTATTGATAACTTCCATACTTTTTTATATTTTATTACAAAATATTGGCTCATAAACATAAACTATCATATTTTATCACGAAATAATGGCTCAAACGCCTAAAATCATATTTTATGTTTTTGAGCCATTTGGTGAGAAAATATAAAAAATTGTGGAAGGTGTCATATACGATTTGGAGTTGAACTTTAACCTTCAATAACTTTCAAACGAGCCGATTAACTGAAAATTCATATCAGACCTTTTTTGAAGACCGTTCAATTTCCTAAAAGTATATGTATTGATTTTTACCAAACGCTGATTTGTTAGGACGCAATAAAATTACATTATTATTCGAATATTGTTTTTTTCATAAAGCATCAACATATTATTTTTTTATTAAAATATATACTTTTTAACTATCCACCATGTATTATAGAATACATACGAATTTATGTTGTTTCTAAAAATAGCTTTAATAATGAATTCAATTAAAATTATCCTTGATGAAATTCAACTTATAAACAACAAACCTTGACCGTCTATCGCGTTGATGCAGTTTTTAACTAACACTATAGTAACTCGTTTGCACACAGAAATACAATAAAATAATTTAGAAAACTCGAAATATATAGAAAAAAAATCGAATTTACCCTGTTTTAAATGTTCAAAATAAAATGCGTTCCGTTTTTAAACGTGCTACTTTCAAGTGAGATGTGTTATTGGCATTTCTTTAATATTTCCAGCTGTATTTAAAGAGTTTTGTGTATTCTGTTATCTCTAGAACCCCAAGCCTGTTGGTTTAAGTGTTTTCGACAGTCCATATCTCCAGCATTTTTGTAAAAAATTAAGATACGGAACAAATTGAAACATTCTTCGATAATTATTGACGTTATAATTGAAAGTCTTATCGGTAATCGTCTCGATACCAAGCTGAAGAAATCGCTGTTTTCCAAAAATAGAATGAGATTGATAAGCGCACAAAACGCAAACTTTTTGAATAAAATTTTCAAAAGTATAGTACCATATGCAACCAGTAAAACTCGCCTTGACACAAAAATGTAATATTTTGAACGACAAAATGTGATTTTAAGTATAAAATAATAACTAATTTAAATAGATAGATATAGGTTTTATCAGATGTTTAAAAAAATATTATTAAATGTCTAAAAAACAGGTAGTGTAAAGCTGTGAATATAATACGAGTTATAATTTTAAATTAAAAACAATTATAGCGGTTGAAATTAACTGAATTTTACAAGAAATGTGCAAAATTAGATATACTTTTAGGATATGACTAACACTAATCTGAAATGTTAGTAGTTTTAAGTGAGTTTCAGCGAGAGACAAGCCTATTTATTTTAAACTCTATGCTATTAACGATAATTTTTTCTCAATGTTCTCGATTAGAACAATGGTTAGGCAACCAGTAAGTCAATCGCGCACATTAATCAAAAAATTATAACGTCAAAATTTAAAAACGCTGTGTCTTTTTTCTTAATTCTGCTTTAGTTAATAATATTCCAAATTTTAGTATATTTGGTATATTTAATAAGAAAAATTATTAGATAAAATTCACATTTCATATGCTCAAGATTTATCATTCTTTTATATCAAGTATTAGAATAATTTGGAGGAAATTTTCAAAGAAATATGATACCGGAGTATTAGGAGACTTGGGATCAGGAGCAGGCAAAGGTGGAGGAGGTGGAGGATCAATCAGGGAAGCAGGAGGACCATTTGGTAAGTGGGAGAAATAATTTAAAATTTAATAAAAAAAATTACATTGATTTTTTTTTTCAGGAAAAGCTGGCGCAGCTAGAGAAGAAGAGTATTTTCACAAAAAACAAAAAGAATTATTAAGCGAATTAAAAGACAAACTAACTGAAGAGAACGCTTTAAGAGAAAATGAAATTAAGAAACACCAAAGCGCAATCAAAAGAAATAAACGCATAGCTGAAGAAATTGAGGAAGAAATAGATGATAATAAAAGCTGTTCATAAGGAGAAACAAAAACAAATTTCAATGTATAAGAAATAGACACATTAAAAAATTATCAGTTTTTTTATGGAGATTTTATTGAATACAGGGCCACCCTATATATAGAGCTTCTCTTAAATAGGTACAAGTGGTATACCGGTACAAGTTAATTGGGGATAAATTTTTAGCGTATGATTTTTTTACCAAACACTAATTATTAAAAAAATTACATTTTACTTGAAGTAATAACAAATCAGTCTGTTTTTGAAAACTGTTTATTATTCTCTATTTTTTCTTGTAAGAATTAACAAGAGATTCAGCATTAGTGTATACAGGATATGATAAGATAAAACTAGTTTAAATACTGTTTCTTGAATTTTGCGTGTTCTTAAAATCCATAAAATCACCTTAAAATCACAGTTTAAAATCTTCAAACTGCTTCAAATTAATTTTTTTATTGAGTATTGCTGTACTTGTTTATTATTATTGTTATCTTTGTCTAATAATAAACCATAGATATAATTTGATATCCCTCCTATAGATTATTTTTTTCTGGACACTTGCCAGATGACCTACATAAGTTCTAGCCATTTAAAAATAAAGAAGAAGAAAATCTATATGAAATCTGTGGTTGCGCATGTTTAGGACCATAAATATAGAAAAGAAGAAGAACATAACTTTGATTCTGTGGTTACATTCTTTTAAGCCCTGATAAACGAAAAAGAAGAAGAGCGCTTGTGGCGCCATTGTGCAAAAAAAGTGAGACAATTTTGAACGAAAATGTCGCCAAGATTTTAATGTTTATGCAAAGATCTAATAATGTAATCTTATTTATGTAAGTATAAAACGAATTAAATCGTTACAAATTCTAATAAACATATAATACACACTTTATTTCAGTAGAATAAGTATTTTCTTTTAGGCACAGGATTATTTATGCAGCAAAAAATGATCAAGACAGGGTGACATTTTCCGTTTTGGAAGTTCTTTTACAATTTTTATGATTTTTGATAGAAAAAGTGGTTATTTTATGCACTATTTGACCTTATTCTGTTCCTTAAGGCCTCTTTAATCTCCTGAATATGTAAGTACCCATTATTTTGCTTGTTTTTTATAGTTTCTTTCACTTTTAAATATTTCAATTACATGATCATTAAAAGCTGATACCTACTAAATAACTTAAACCCTTGTCTATAATCAAGGTTTATACCTTTTTCCAGTTTTCATAATTTACTTTTTCTTAGATATTACATTCCTTGATGTCTCTATTGTACAATAAATGCCAAATTAAAGTTATTTAGAATATTGCTTTATATTAGAAACATTTGGTATTCTTTTTGGCCATTTTTTTAGTAGAGTTTAAAGATGCCTTTTATTCCTAAACGTTATTTTCTCTTTATTTTAGAATAAGTCTGTGTTAGTACACCTAAAGGAACCGCCCATTCTCAACAATTACATAATTCTTCAGATAAAAAGAAATGTTTTTGCATTTTTAATATACACTGTCGTTATAGGTATTTTTACTAACAAATTTGCATTGCGTTATTATTATAATGCTTTAATTATAATTTTCTTGTTTAGGAGTGATATTAATAAAACACACTCAGGCATATAAAGACGACCTACAAGAAGAGACCTTGGTCATTAGGGAATTCTTATGTTTGTTCATCATGCTCATTTACGAGATTGGTTTTATATTATCCGGTTAAAAGTAAGTTTATTTTTTATTTTTTTAAAACAATAATTTTAATAAATTTATTAAATGTTTCTTAACAGAGTAACTATATTTTTTAACATAATATATGTATAATATTAATATGAAACAAAAAAAAACACAAGTATTTTAATAAAATATTATTTATTTCTTTGTTACAGATTTTCTGCGACAAATCAATGGATGTATACAGTTCCAGGGCATTTAGTAGGCATTTAAGTAAAAATTCCAACGTGTGCCATTTTTATAGTTCCTTATTATCATAGATAAATTCAGAGCATCTATTTATATTTTGATCCAGTTTATGGCTTTTAGTCACTTCCTTTTCTTTTTGATACAATACCATCTACTTAGAACTTTATGTTGTTTTTGGTTTACTTTCATTTCTTTATAATTTCTTGACTTTCATATATTTTTGATTGTGGAAATAATATCATCATTTATCAATTCTTTCTCTAAGGCATTTTATTTCTTTTGTCTTTTTAGATAATAGTAATTTTCATATCATTTTCATGACTTTTTCAATTCGTCATACCATATAGAGTAACGCTAAATTTTATTTTTCTTAAATATAATTTATTATTTTTCTTTTATATTGATTGGATTTTTACGTCTCCTTTTTCATTTGTATTATTGTTTATTTTACTGCTGTTCTTCTAAGACTTCTAGGTCTTTCTATTGCCTACATAGAATTGTATAGCTTTGGATTCATTTTCTGATTGATTTTTTCTCATACATTTTCTAATTCTCTTTAAAATTGAGTTATTGATTGGGACATTGTACTACTTTGGAACAAGGATTTTTTTTGAACAGCTGCAATTCAACCAACCTCTTCAAGATGCCCCTTTAGCTTGCTAAAATTCAAAATTCAACAGTAGAATGAGAAGAAAATTGATCATTGAAGGGGTAGCTAAATATAGTAGGTCTTTTTTTGTGGAAATTGTTAAAGAAAAATTTGAAAAATTGTTTAGAATTGTTACATAATGTAGTTTATTAATTATTCTTGAACATTAATTTGGAATTTTAAACTTTATACTGTACAATGAAAATGTTTTTTGATCAAGCAGGCTTTGAGCATTGATAAATAATCATTTTCTATGAGGAATTACAGTAAAATTGATATAAATGTTTATACTCCAAGCAATATACCTTATATGAATAATTAGTTATAGATAAGATATTTATTAAATGTAATGTTTTAGTTAAGTTGTATATATACAATATGATCGAAAAAAAACGGTGTCCAGTTGGCTGGGAAATTACGATCGATGGCATTTCCCATATAAAAAAAGACAGCAATATTCATTTCATAGCCATCGCTGACGCCGTTTTTTTTTCGATCGTATAATCGGAAAAAAATCGGCGTATATCAATATTATAAATTATAATGAAATACAAAATACCGTATGATCGAAAAAAACGGCGTCCAGTTGGCTTGGAAATGACGATCGATAATTTTTCCCATATAATTTTACATATAAAATGACAGCGATCTTTATTTCATAGCCATCTCTGACGCCGTTTTTTTCGACCCTATGATCGAAGAAAAAACGGCGTATTATATCAATATTATAAATTATAATGAAATACAAAATATTAAACATAGAGTAGCTAAAAAACGAAATTTCTTGGCAATATGGTGAAGGAAATTTAATTAAATTTTTAAAAATTTTAAAATAAAAAGATTTATTTTTTTGTTTAACAAATTTATTGATATTCTTATGTGAAGACCATATTATATAATATAAATTAAGATTAAAATGTAACATATAAAATTTGTGTCTCTTTATACAAGATGATCGAAAAAAAAACGGCGTCAGCGATGGCTGTGAACTGAAGATCGCTGTCGTTTTATATGGGAAATGTCATCGATTGTTATTTCCCAGCCAACAGGATGCGGTTTTTTTCGATCATACGGTAGAAGTAACAGCTTTTAATCAAGCTTGTTAGTGAACAAATTATCACTTATAATATCACAAGAGCTTAAATTATTTTCGGAAATTTTTTTGAGGGCACGAATATTTTGAAAATTATCCCGAGTCGAAGACGAGGGATAATTTTCCTAAAATATTCGTGCCCGAAAGAAAATTTCCAGGAATAATTTAAGCTTGCGTGGTATTCGGTAAGAAAATTTCACACCTAAATTTGAAAAAAAAAAATATTAATCCAACATGACATTTTAAAATAATTTCAATTTGTTAATAATATTAACAAATATTATTATATTTTTAAATAGTTACATCAAATGCTAAAACTCAAATGGGTAATATTTCAATATATAGACATTGTAGTTCATTCACATTATGATTGTAGATCTTATGTTTACCTTTTCAACTGTCAAAAAATTTCCACTAAAGTTTCGTGGCGCCTCGAAAAAATTTCCGGAATTTTTTTCAGTTGCCATGGTAACTAGTCAACATTAAAGCATGTTATTGGTTGAAAAGTAGAGGTGTGAAATTTTCTCTTTATTTTTTGATCAACAATAATAATTTCTTTATTTTTTACAGATCCAATACTTTCCAGAAGGGCGACCAGAAGATTTCTTTACCTCAACGTAGTCATTAGCATGTCCATCAACACCTTGGATTTTTTTTGTAAAAAATAATATGTTAATAAACAATAATTAATAAAATGAGTTTTATTGAACCAAAATATATTGAAAATACTGTCTAATCATGGACAAATAGAAAGAGCCATTTAATTATCACAAAATTACTAAAGAACCCTTAAGAAGTTGTTCAGAAATAGAGATAGTATTTTATATAAAAATAATACCTACGATTACCTCTTCGCCCTTATGTACTCCTGATACAAATCCCAAAAAATTCAATTTTTGTCATAGACCGCACGAAAATTTTTAAATTAGGTCAAAGATCGCCGATTTTTATCAGGAACACATAAGAATGAAGAGGTAAGGAGTAAATTTAGTACCACATGTAAATAAAGCATTGATCAACGATATTTCTGCTATCTCTAGCACTTCGAACTCGTTTCCAAACTTCAACCCTTAATATCTCGGAAAATATAACGGTTAGAGAGGAACGGAAGTCGGCTTTCGATAGGCACTTCAACCCTCTATAAGGGCGCAAAACGGGGGCGCGATCGGAGAGCAAAAATTTTTTTCGCGAAAAATGAGGTTTATAATGAGGTGATATAAGTAATATTATTATATTAATATTTAGGTATACCAAAAATTTTTTTTGCTCCGATCGTCCCCTAATTTTGCACCCTTATAGAGAATTGAATTCCCTATCGATTGCCGACTTCCGTTCCTCGATATCTCTTATAGTTTAGAAGTTATGGCCGGTTTATCGAAAAAATCTAACTCATTCCAACTCGTTGGTCGGGTACTCCAAAATTTGCCACGTTGAAATTATTTTTGGCAGCTTTTATTAAAAATGAGCAATCTTGAATTTGTATCAGGAACATATGAGTGCGAGGAGGTATTTTTCGATACCAGTAGTAAACAGTTACATTCACCATTTTGTCAAGAATTTATTTCGTGCATTTTTACCTCCTTACTCTTATGTACTCCTGATACAAATGCTTAATTTTTCAGTCTTATTCGACGAAGATTTTTAATCCTTGCCTAAAATCACACATATCTCCTCGCTCTTATGCACTTCTGATACAAATCCGAGATTTTCATCGACTTTTGTCTATTTTTCTTGGAGAAATAAAACCACAATTATTTTTAAAAAGTTTTTTATTTGTATAACAAGTATAAATATATTGGACGTGGACAGTATTGTGGATATAATATAGTACAAAATTATTATACAGGGTGGTACACTGTATATTATTTTTGGAGTAATATATATATTATTAAAAATAAAACAACTTTTAATTTTAACTAAAACATTTTATTAAATGTACGACAATAATAAACTTTTTTTATAAAAAAAAACATTGCCTCTATAGCCACAACATATAAGATTGTACAATAATTGAGTATCTTTGAAAAACATCTGTCACAATAATATGTTATAATATATAAAAAAAAAGTACACGAACAAAATTATCTGTCCAATAAATAGAAAATCAAAAAGGCAATGCTATAAAAACCAAAAAAAGAAAAAAAAAATATCTAAAGCCGCACAAAAATATATATGTGTAAAGGTATACATAAAGTTTCTTTTTTTTTAATAAATTAATTACAGTATACAGGGTGGTCCCAATTGTATTCGGGATACCGCGGCAATGTATTTTGCATTAAAAAAGTTATGTTCTAAAATGCTTTATTTTGGAGATACAGGGTGTAGAGGTTTCTTTTTAATTAAAAGATATTTAGATGAAAATGGGTGTCTGGATGATTATTGACATAAGAAATTTTATTTCGATGTCAATATGACCCATGGACGCCACCAAAAGCCTAACAACTTTTCGTCTGTACCCCTGTATCACACTACTGCGAGAAAAAAATATACTTCATCCAAATATCGGCATTAGCTCAGAAATTATTTGGTTACACCCTGTACGTCCGAAACGAAGTTTCTTGGGACAAAACTTTTTTACTGCCGAATACATTGCCCCAGTTTCCCGAATACAATTCGGACCACCCTGTATAGTACAACAACGTACGTTAGGTATATAAAAATGCTATTAAGTAGACTACCAGTAGACCATCAGGCAGTATTAGCAGTTATTTTTCTTCAACTTTTTTAAGCACTTAAAGCAAGACATTTTCTAGAATAACTAAAACTAGCAAATTATTCTGAAGAAAATTTCTTGCGTGATCTTTTTTTTAGTTACTTTCTAAAACCAGTCTCACTAAGAACAAAAATTTTACTAACTAAACAATTATAACGAGTTTGTCCATGTCTACGTTAAAACGCTAAAAAACATGTCTTTTTTCGGTAAAAAACAGTAAAATTTTTGTTGAAATGATCGCTGTTTACAGGTAGGAGAAACAAAAAGTGTTTTTTTTTTGGAACTAGGAGCTATCTTCTGTATGTACAAGGCTGGAGACATGGTTCAGGAATTCATGTGGCCGTACTTCTGGCTTTTTTCTTTTGACGAGCCGCCACTGCTGCTACAAGGGCGGCGCCTCTGCCAGATCCGTCTTCGGACAGCATCAAACCAAACTAAAAAAAAATATTTTGAAATTTTTTTTTTTAAATTGTACGTGCACTATGTGCGCATATTAGAAGTGAAACTTTTTACTAACAGCTTTTAAATTGAATGATTTGAAGGATATATATTTTTTTATGAATGCTTTTTACAAACTTCAAAAAAAATTAGAGTTAATATAAAACCGTATACTATTCTAGCTTTATAATTTTATAAAAAATGTCTATATCTATGTGGCGAATTCATCTCTCCAAAAAATCCTTTATGGGTATTTCGCCACTGCACTGCAAGAAAAATCTACGAAATAAAATACACACGCCGGAAAAATCTAGGGATATCATTTTATTAATGTTAAAAATAAATGTTTTGAATAAACAACCACATATTTGTAGGCCGATTCTTTCTACTTCGATTGAAACGAAGTAGTCACACTAGTTATTTCTAAATTTGGGATACTTGCAGAAGTGTTTGTGCATTTTTTGTCAAATGTATAAAAAGCACCTAGCATCAATTGTTCGAATTTAACCTGTACTGGCTATGTTTTTATGATAACTGGCCAGAATTCATTCAAATAACTCTGTTTAGTATTAAACGACATTATGGAGCGTAGACATCTTAACAGAGACGGAATGCTAAGGGCCATGGGTATGCTCGAAGCTGGAATGCGCCAAATCGACGTAGCTAGAGCATTAAATACAACGCAAAGTGTAATATCGCGATTAAGTGCACGCTACCGTGAAAGTGGTGATGTTGCTGAAAGGCACACAGGGCGACATCAAATTACTATCCCTCAGCAAGATCATTTTTTACAATTAAATGACCGACTCTTACAGCACCAGAGCTTAGTTTAATTCTCCAGGAAACACATAATGTAACCGTTAGTCCTGACACTGTTCGCAATAGATTAAGAGAGGTCAACTTAAGAAGCAGACGCCCCTGGAGAGCTCAACCCTTAACGAGAGGAAATCGAGAGGTACAATATTTGTGGGCTCAAGATCATGTTCAGTGGTCGAATGAACATTGGGCCAATGTTCTCTTCACGGATGAGTCACGCTTTGGATTACATCCGGATTCGAGAAGGCTTAGGGTATGGAGAGAACCGGGAAATCTTATTCGGTTGGATCATGTTCAGGAAGTGCACCCTTATCAAGGTGGAACAGTTATGGTCTGGGGAGCAGTCCAATTAGGCCGAAAAACCGATCTCGTTTTTCTTGAAAGGTTTCTAACAGGAATCACATATCGTGATTTAATTCTTGAGCCTGTCGTGTTACCATATGCCAATGATTTTGGGAGAAACTTCATTCTCATGCATGACAATGCACGGCCTCGTACAGCCAGAGTGGTAAGTGAGTTTATCAATGCTCATCAATTAAACATCTTACCCTGGCCGGCACAATCTCCTGACCTCAACCCCATCGAGCACGTATGGGACGCGGTCCAAAGAAGAATTTTGAGAATGGGTATGCCTCGTGAAACTCGTAGGGATCTGGTTCGGGCCGTGAATGCAGCGTGGCAGGCTGTACCTCAAGAAGAGATCGACAACCTGATCAGGAGCATGGAGAGACGATGTAGGGCTGTAATGAACAGTAGAGGAGGCCATACCCTTTATTAAGTAAAAATGGTTTTATCTTTTCTTTTTTTAATTCACAGTTTAGAATAAAATAAATGTGTGTATTTTTTTGAGTTCAATAAAAATCAAGGTAAATTTGAAAAATTCGGTAAATTTCGCATTTTTATTTCCAATACGTCCTGTAAACTATTTGTTTATTTTAATTTTATTATATCAGAAATGCAAATAATAAAATTACTGACGATGGCTGGATAAAATTGTAATATCCCTAGACTTTTCCGGTGTGTGTAGTATTTTACGTGCAACGCCTAGTTTTTTACATGCAACATAAAGTTTTTTACGCGCAAAAATAGTTTTTTGCGCGTAAAAAATAGTTTTCTACGTGTAACAAATAGTTTTGATAAACTCGCGGACTGGTCACGTAGCGTCACTACGTATTTCTTGAATTTTTGGCCTTGAATTTCTACTCTTAGCGCACATAAAAAAGTTTCACTTTAAAAATTAACAAAAGATCACTTACCTCAATGCTAGGATCACAAAGCTCCCCAATTTTCTCCATCATAAGATTATGGAAATGCGGATGGTATCTGTACACCGACCCATCGACTCCGATGGTCACTTTTTTCTCGTCCATCTTGTGAAGCAACGTGACTATACTTGTAGAAGCCAGGTGAGCCGCCCTCCTGCTCACGCATTCGCAAACGAACCTTACGTTCACATAGTCCTGCTCTGTGGCGTGTTTCAAGCCGAGCTCCTCCAGGATCTCTTTCTGATTTGTGAACATTCCGGGTTCGTCGCTTTCGATTTCCGAGACGTACTTCGTGTAGAATCGGCCGCGTTCGTAGAGCAAGTCGGAGCCTTTGCCGCCGAACAGCAGGCCTTCTTTGGTGAATTTCTCCAGGGCCAGCCTGACTAATTCGCCCATGTACATGCCGGAGATCATTTTTTCTTGACTGCAAGAGAAAATAGCATATTGCTTTATTTGGTGTAAAAATGACACTCTTTGTAGCCAGACTGTACGTTTGACATTACAGGCGAGACACAAAAAGTCATTTTTACTCCGAACAGAACATGCTTTTTTTTCAAATGACACAATCACAAATAATTTTTATATTACGTTTTTATATTGACAATCACGTCGCAAAAATGAATACTTTTGTGACGTTTGAAAGAAAAATAATAACCTACATATACAGGGTGGAACAAAGAACATACAAAATAAAGGTTATACTATACGTACATTTGTCTGCCTGGGTTGATGGAATGCTTGTCGACTTCCCTGTCGTATTCTGTCCGGACGAAATCTAGGCAACCGTCATCGCCAAAAGCGCCATTTTCTAGGTTGATTATCACTTTTCCCGAACCCATGTCAGAGTCTTCGAATAGTTCAGCGTTTCCTTGCTTTTCCACATAACATCCATTGTTACCAGTACCTAAAGAAATCAACAAAAATCTTATTACAAGAATATTCTAAAAAAGTAATTTTTTCCTACACCCATTAAATGCTTTTTTAAGTTGTTTAATATATCAATTAGAGTTTTTATGTTATGTACCAAAAGATCATAAATTTTGTTTCATTACGAAGCCAATTTGACGCCGTTTTTTTCATCTCCATGAAACCAATATGTATATAAAGATTTAAATGTATTTATTCAAATTTTCATCTGTGTGAAAAAAATGGCGTCCATTTGGCTGGGAAATGACGATCCATGACATTTCCCATATAAATTTACATATAAAATGATAGCGATCTTCATTTCATAGCCCTCGCTGACGCGACGAACCTCAACAATTGTTGATTCTAAATATTTTACCAGCTATTACTTAACAGACACCCTGTAGAATTATCTGTCACTATAAGCGACGTCTGCATAAAATACAGATTTTTATACACGTGTGACGTATTATATAGTCTATAAAATGAATAACTTTGAATTTTGACCGTTATTTCTTATCAACACGGCAAATATAAAATCCCTCTGTCAAAAAAGTTACTGATATTCTTTAAATTGAGTGCCTGAACGAATCAGATAGGTAACTCTTTTTACTTTCGTGAAATAGAAAAGGAAAATAATAAAACAAGTGATAGTTCTTCCTCTTCTACCAAAAATCAACACGAAATGTCATAATTGTCAAAAGTAAAATGTCATCAGCTTTTGACATTTCTAAATATCAGATCAATGCCGTCTTCTAATAGAACAGCCTCGATGATTTATGACGTCACGCTAGTTAGATATACTATGGATTAATAAATATGTGTTGAATACATGGAAAACATAACTATTCCTCGTATTTTTGGTTTGTATTTAAAATCAATGTTTGTTTTTCAAAACAAACCAAAAAATACGAGGAATAATTATGTTTTCCATGTATTCTACAACATATTTATTAATCCGTAGTATCTAACTAGCGTGACGTCATAAATCTCGCTCAGAGGCTGTTCTATTAGAGACGGCATTGCGTCAGCATGGCCGCAAGTTGCTAACCTAATAAAATAAACACTAAAAAAGCCCGCGGGAACTGTCAAATTCAAAGTTATTCATTTCACAGACTATATTAATGATCTTTTAATAACTGTATTTAGTAGTTTTTATAGCAATACGACATTCTTTTGATTATTACATTATATTTCCCGAACAACTTTTACGACATTATTAATATTAAACTACTTAAAAAACGCCGTATTTCTACGTTTATCAAACAATTAGTTGCTTGAACTCAACTAATTGTAAAGGTTAAGGTTAGAACGTAATAGTTTATTAATTGGAATACATTTTAAGCACCTCGTAAATGTGAATAAGCAGATAAAGATCACTAAATTAAGCTAAAGCAAGTGCTCTCTGTGCCATAATACCGTTAAAAAAACAGTAATTTGCTAATATTATTAGTCCTTAATCTTTATAAACACTTCAATTCAATATACGGTATTCGCAAAACATTTTCCACTAAAGCCTATATAAACCTGACTAAATGAAATTTTGGCAAATATGTTTAAATTTGTTGTATAATTTAAGATACCGAGCAGCTCTTCATTTTAGTTTATAGAGCAAATGATTGTAACAGATATTTTATTTAAATTAAAGCAGCAAAAATTAGTTTAAAGCTATTTGTATTCAGCAACGTTGACGTTTATTATTTGACAATTATCCTAGTGTCAGTCATTATTTTGTATAATATTGTGTTGTTGTTGAATCTTTGCGAGTAATTCTCGTTTTTGCCTATTTTCACAGTCTTTTTTTAAAAATTGTACTTTTAAGCACAAACAGTTCTTTTAAGAACTAAATTTTCGAATTTTTGTATTGCATTTCTTCAAATATACCGAAGCATTTAAACAGCGAAGCAAAGAGCTTGATAAACTCTTTTGAATGAGAACGCGACAATAAAGGTTAGGATTTACTATCCTTGATTATCAGAGAAGTAAGTTTGATTGGTAAGCACATTATACTACTTTTAAAATTATTTCAACGTTTGTTTTTGATAATGCCATTTGTGGTGTTAGAAGTTGTATTATCAATAAATAGAATATAGAGTATAAATATGTAATATATGTAATAAGTAAAATAACCTATAAAAAAATAAATTACTAAAATATTAATTATTAAATTAAAAATAAAATGTAAAAATCTTTAAAAAATTATATAATAAATGTTTTGTGTCCCAATTTTACATTAAAATTCATCCCATAAATCCATCACAATCTGGCAGCGCTGTCGTCATTGCCTGTCACTCAAAGTTGACCACGTGCATCGGAAATTGTTTTGCGATTACCGTAGAACTTCAGACTTCAAGAACAAAAGTTAGAGTACCACAATTACCTCCATTTTGACACAGCTTAAAGGCGCGAAATTTAAAATTATAAGCATAAGAAATGGAAATGAAGGTAACTGTAGTACTCCATATTATCGAGGACCTTTATAAGAAATACTACAACAGACACCTACCGACTATTAGTCCGATTCTACAATCGTGGTTCTTCCATGCACAGGACATGAGCGTGCCTGTGGTATCGTTCAAAATGGCGCACACCTCAATTTTAACGTCCTACAATCAAAGAAATAGGCTCATGCAAAAAAGAATGAAGCTAACTAGGAATGCGTGCGATGAAAAGAGATGACCTTAAACCTAAACCTAGGCTAAAATATTAAAATCTTGACTAAACCAAAGTTTACAGAAATAAAGTATGTTAGTTGAATCCAAATATATTATAAGAATATATTGCTAGTACCGCATTTACACAATGAGTGGAAAGTGAAGCCAAAGAAAAGAAACAGGAATATCAATCTTGCATAAGTCTATCCTTTTCGTTCAACAGGATTTTCGTGCGCACGCACCAAATAAAAGGATCTGATTCGTCTACTTCATCGCTGAACGCTGTCACCTGCCCGCGCACTACTTTAAACTCTAAATATTAATAACGTATAATATATTATTTTTGTATTGGTAATGGCATTATTTCAACCTGGTATTTTAGATATTCATCATATCTATCCGTATCTTGTTTTTGTTTAAATATGTCAGAGATTAAATTTAAATTTATAAGTAAAGGCGCGAATAGTCAGATAGAAACTTAGAAAACTACTTCTATTGGTTAGTATGAAATAAATCAACTAATCGCGAAGCACTTCTCACGCTTGCGTAGTTCAAAGCTGTTGAACGAAAAGGACCGACTTATGCGGATTTTGTATAGCTCCATCTCAAAAATTTGGCTCCAATTTCTATTCCTGACTAGCGACATAGTATAATATATACAGGGTGTTTCAAAACAAATGCAAAAAACTTCAGGGGGTGATTCCTTGTTCAAAATAAAGGGTAGTTTGCTTTATAAACGTAGGGTCAAAAGTCAACCATTAGGGAGATATCGCGGTACAAAGATGGCGGAAAAATAAAGTTTTTATTTTTTATCTTGAAAACGAAAAGAGATAGACTAATGAAATTTTACGGAAGCATTACTGTTATGAAAACACAATTTCTGGTAATTTTTTCACTTTTTTAAAATGAGTGGAAGGGGTTGAAATAAACTACCCCTATCATTCTTGTTAATGAAATTTAAAGAAAAATCTTATCAAACACATGCAAAAAAAAATAATTTTGATAGTTTAGTTTATTTAGAAACTTTTTTATCTCTTGTGTTTTTTTGATAAAACTCACCGATTTGAAATTAAAAAATAAAATGTAAAGCATTACATGTCAGGACAAAAACATTTTTAGATAAAGAATCTAGTGGGCAGCTGTAATTTTTTTAGGAAAAAATCTAGTCGGCCGCTGTCACTTTTTAGGATGTTTCTAATATTGTTTTATTTGACATTACCCTACTGCAATACGTTATTATCTAGATTATTATTATTATCGTTATTATCACTAGATTCTTAATCTAAAAATATTTTTAGTCCTGACATGTAATGCTTTACATTTTACTTTTTAATTTCAAATCGGTGAGTTTTATAAAAAAAATACAAGAGATAAAAAAGTTTCTAAACAAACTAAACTATCCAAATTAATTTTTTTGCATGTGTTTGATAAGATTTTTCTTTAAATTTCGTTAACAAGAATGATAGGGGTGGTTTATTTCAACCCCTTCCACTCATTTTAAAAAGTGAAAAATTACCAGAAAGTGTGTTTTCATAACAGTAATGCTTCCATAAAATTTTATTAGTCTATCTCTTTTCGTTTTCAAGATAAAAAATAAAAACATTATTTTTCCGCCATCTTTGTACCGCAATATCTCCCTAATGGTTGACTTTTGACCCAACGTTTATGAAGCAAACTACCCTTTATTTTGAACAAGGAATCACCCCCTGAAGTTTTTCGCATTTGTTTTGAAACACCCTGTATATATATGTATATATGTATGGTTAGATCACTAATTTTTTCAACAATTTTTTTTTGTAAAAAAAACATTGGCGTGCTTCTGGGGTCGAAACTTGGTCAAAGAATGCCTAGAGAAGCTAAATAAATTACATATTCTGTAAACTTTGTCTAAACTAACCTAAAGGCATACCAAACCTTTTTATTCATATTTTAGATCAATATTAATGCACCAATGTCATGCGAAAACAAGTGGAAACCTCTCCAAAACTAACTAGGCTAGAGAAATTTGACTTAGATCGAATTTTTCAGGCCAGAAGCATATAGGAAATCATGCCTTATCGCATAATGCTTAATGTTAAAGCCTGGAAGTCGCGTGGTGCGCTTCCAGGACTCACCAATGATCACTCCGATCCTACAATTTCGGTTTAGCCACGCGCAAGACATTAATGTACCTGTCGAGTCGTTCAGAACTGCCATGACATCGATTTGTATGTCCTGAAATGTTTGTCATATAGATGATTCTTTATTTTTCTTTTCTTTAAATTTACTAACTCCCAAATAATAATTTATTTTTAAAGCTATGTTCACTTTTTTATTTATTTTAAGTGATTTTATCACTTATATCATGATAGAATAAAGTCAAGGACGGTAAACTAATAGGACTGCTCATCCTCATAAGACGTACGTTCGCCTCTTCCCGCGCTTCAGCTGACGGTTGTGGCGTCATTGTAGTCCTTGTCATTATTGTATTATTGGTTGCCTACGGTAAACTTATAAATAAAAATAATAGCTGAGAAATTTTGAGTTAATTATTTTGTCGATTTTAAATGTGAAAAAGGTGTTTTTCAAGTTTTTAGAGCTATAGAGTATATAAATACGTTCATTCTGTGTTGTGGATTGTGATTAAGTGCCTACGATATTGTTTAGTAATTATTTTAAAGCAAAATATGGAAGTACTCTAAAAAAAATGCCTGCAAAAGGCGATGCTGGGAACTACCGTTCTTAAAAATGCATTATCCGAGAATTTAATACGATTTATACAGTTAATTTTCTATACTGCATACATATAAGGTGTTTAAATAAATAAACTAAGTAATGACTGTTTTGCATACGGCAACCAATAATACACACACTATCCTGACAAGGACTACAATGACGTCACAGAGAGACGAGTTTTCGCATGCACCTGGCAGACACTTTCGGCTGAATGAGCAGTCCTATTAGGTTAACTGTTCTTGGAATAAAGTTATCTATTGGGAAAACCCCTATGGTTATAAAGAATCATTTTGATTGCCTTGTTTAAGGAATAAAATGATATATGAGCCAAGCATTGGATAATAATACCAAGAAATGAGTCAGATACTATTTTTCTACTGTATACTGTACCTAAGTATAGTCTGTGAAACAAATAACTTTGAATTTGACAGTTCCCGCGGGCTTTTCTGGTGTTAATTTTATTAGGTTAGCAACTTGCGGCCATGCTGACGCAATGCCGTCTCTAATAGAACAATCTCGGAGCGAGATTTATGACGTCACGCTAGTTACATGCTACAGATTAATATATTGTAGAATACATGGAAAATATAATTATTCCTCGTATTTTTGGTTTGTATTTTAAAAATGAGATATAGTTTACATGAAATATACAGTTAATATAAACAGTTAATATAAATAAGTTAATACAAAAAAAGATATATACAGTTAATAAATAAAAACGCTGATTAAGTTTTCATTTGGTTTTTCATTATTTTTTTTTTGGTTTAAAAAAAACGTTTCGGCTAACATTATAGCCTTCATCAGTGCTGTGTCATATGATTTTTTTTTCATTTTAAACCAACAAAAATAATGAAAAACCAAATGAAAACTCATCAGCGTTTTTCCCGAACCTAAATCCCAACAAAATCAAAAATTTTAGAATAATTTTACATATAAAATGACAGCGATCTTTATTTCATAGCCATCGCTGACGCCTTTTTTTCTATGATATTGTATTATAAATATTGATACTTGCAAAATATACATATAAATTTTGTGAATGCAAATAATAATAATTAGTAGATATAGATTTTTATTAGATATAATTAGTAGATATTATAGATATAATTAGTAGATATTATTATATAGATATAATTAGTAGATATAGATATAGTTTTTTTGTTAAATTAAATCGATTTTCAAACCAAAATTTAAAATATATGTATATATATTACATTTTACCCAATATCTTATTTACCTATTCATTATTTGTATATTGTAAAACATTTGATGCATTTGTATGGTTCATAGTTTATTTGCCAAAGTATTTATTACTATGAAGAGGTATATAATATATTGTATTTATTAACTGTATATTATGTATATTTCATGTAAACTATATCATTTTTAAAATACAAACCAAAAACACGAGGAATAATTATGTTTTCCATGTATTCTACAACATATTTATTAATCCGTAGTATCTAACTAGCGTGACGTCATAAATCTCGCTCCGAGGCCGTTCTATTAGAGACGGCATTGGTCTGATTGATTTTGCAAGAAGAGGCAGAATTGTGACTTGTTTTATAATTTTCCTTTTCTATTTCACGAAAGTAAAAAGAGTTACCTATCTGATTCGTTCAGTCACTCAATTTAAAGAATATCAGTAACTTTATTGACAGAGGGATTTTATATTTGCCATGTTGGTAAAAAATAACGGTCAAAATTCAAAGTTATTCATGTTATAGACTATATCTATAACATTTTAGGAAAAAGACACGAGACAACTATGGTGGGTCAAAAAAATCGACTATTTTTTCTCTCACTTTATAACCCTTTAAAAAAACCCTCTCCAAGTATGAGCTCTTAATTTTAATAGCAATGTCCTCTGCCTTTCAGTTGTCTATTTTTTCCTTATTATTAGAAAGAAAAATTCATGGAAGTTCTCTGTTCGAAAATTCGACACCACAGTTGTTTATGTACAAGTTAAGGTCTTTTTTATGCTTGTCTGAGTTTATTTACTATTATTTTTCGTCTGTTTTATTAATATTAGTTTTATGTAAAGTGCCTAAATCTTGTAACCCATTATGGTGATAAGAATGAAATAATTATAAATCCCTTTGTTGCTTGATATCCCCCTTCCTCGGTATTTTTATTCAATGCAAACAAATCATTTTTTTTCACGTGTATAAAAATAAAAATGAACCAAAAGAAGAGAGGAAAATGAGGTTAGGATATCTAAGCTTACCCCTCGTCTCTCTATGGCCTCGTTAAGCATTTGCACTACGTCGTTTCCTACGACGTTGGAACAGTTGAATCCCTTCGTCCATCTCTGTAAAATGCCAACTGTCAAGCCTTTCTGTGACAAGGGGAAACTGAATGTGAATCCTAGGGGTAATGTTTCTTGTTGAACCTAAAAAAATCATTAAAAAAACGTAAAAAAATTATATATAATTAAAGCAGAATCACTAAGAACAATCAGATTTAAAAATTAAGTTGATTTATGTGACAAAGAATACACTGCATACTCAAGAAACGACTAAAGAATACAGGGACCAATAACACCCGAGACTAGCGATGGGAACTATCGAATGAATTAGACTATCGAATGGTTACTGAATGAATGATTTCAACTATCGAATGGTTTTATTCGAATAAAATCATTCATTCATTTGTATACTAAAGCATATGTGACAACCTCGCCGTGCGACTAAATGGTTATCGTTGCGCCACGACTATCGAATGCTTTTGATAAATGAAATTTAGTATTCGTTTGATTTTTGTGTGCGTCAGTGCATTATTAGTTCTTCAAATTTTTATAACTTCGCCTTGTAAATACTATGCTATTTTTGCGTTTATTAAAATATTTAAAATACTAAAATAGTAGTTTTTTTTTAATTGACGATTGTGTGCGAAGTGGTCAAAATTTTTCCGAAAATTTGTGTGATTTTCCGTAGCCCGATCTTTCAATTATTTATATGTTATATTATGGTTAGGTTAGATTGCATTTTTTAAAGGGAAATTTTGAGAAGTAGCAATTTTTAACAGAGATGAGATGAACTTACAATTAATTTTAAAAATACATATTTGTATTTTAGATATTTTAATAATATGAATTAGTTGAACTTAATAATCATATTTAAGTAATGTGGTTAAGTAAATTGTGTTGTCGAACTCAAATTTTGGGTAAATGCCAGCAAAAGTAAATATTATTTTTAAATAATAATATAAAGTAATAAAAAGTAATATAAATAATTTTGATTTCTAATTTTTTATTTATATTTCCTTCCATTACACTGCATGCTTAGAAAATTAATAAATGTTTATATTTCATGATTTTAAAATTTGTTGTTAATATAACAAATTAGTTCTGTAATTATTACTATTTAATAAACCAACGTTGCCATTTAGAGACTATATTATTTTTAAATAGGATCTAATATAAATACTTTTGGACTTCTATTTGTTGTTTATATTTTGCTACTACTTAAAACAAATGTTTATATTATTAAATGATTGTAAATTTTGTTGTTAATAGGTATAACAAATTATTACTGTTATTATTACTTATTAAACCAGTCTTTGCATTAAAAATTATTTTTAAAGTAAAAACATTAAAAATAATTTTCCTACATCCAAAATAAAAAGTATTATTGCAGTGTAACAACAGAATATTAATAAAAAAATGCAAAACATATAGACATACTATCCCTAACTAACTAATGCTAAAGAATAATATTCTTTGCTAATACCAACTAATACAAATATATGGCAACAGCGCCCTTCATAATATATTTTCTGTGTAAATACTAGCACCTCAATAAAAAAAAATAATGTGTCCTTATCTTTATTTGACTCCGCAAAAAATCAAAGATGCCGGCTACTTTCATAGCATTGCCACCGACCGCTGTCGGGTTTCTAGGAAAGAAACCTACGTGGCCGGACGACAACTAAAATCCAGTTTATATTTTATTAAAATCGATCCTACGAATAAATGAATTTGATAAATGAATGAATTTTATAAATGAATGGTTTTTGCTGCCGAATTACTATTCGATAATTTTTATTCGAATAGTTTTCGACGAATGTTTTCTTACTAGCTATCGAATTATTCGAATGAATTGCAACTATCGAATGTTTCGATAGTATTCATTCGATAGTTCCCACTACTACCCGAGACCAAATTGTTACCATACCTCCAAACAGTGCCGTGCTAGATATTTTTCTTAATTGGCTGCTTGAAGAGATATTTATATTTTTGATAAATGTTTTTGATAAACGCCTATGGTGTATACGGTGATATCATACTAATTAATTACGGAAAAAACCTATTAAAATATTAACAAAAGGCAAAAAACTAGTATTGACTTATAACACATATCAAGTACATATAATATAAGAAGAATAATTATCAAATTCAATAAGAAATCGCTAAAAAGGTGGAGTGGACTGTTTATTTACCTATGAAACTTAACTCTTGACTCTTTCTTATCGTTTCGGCTTTTACACTTGAAAGCCAAACAAATCAATAACAAAAAAAACAAATAAAGTTTATACAAAGTTCACTACACACAACAAACTATAGTACTCGCAAAACATTTTTCGATGCACGTCATCAATCATATCGAAATTGACACTACAGCAACTACTTAGTATTTGTGTGGCTACTTGAAGGAATTACTGAACGCAAATGGTCTCGACAACAAAACTGTGATTGAATATATTGAGCTTACATCGTTATGTATGAAACAAAATTGTTTTCAATTTAATAACAATTTTTTTGAACAGCGGGAAGGTACAGCAATGGGTAGTCCATTGTCTCCATTTTTGGCTAATTTATTCATGAGCAGGTTTGAAGTGGAGGCTAGGAATCAGTTTGAGTATTTTCCAAGAGTATGGTTTAGGTATGTGGATGATATTTTTGCTGTTTTTGACACACATTCAGACACCATAGATAATTTTATTTCTAAGTTAAATAATCGTTTTTCTTCCATTAAATTTACGCATGAAATTGAGAACAACGACAGATTACCATTTCTAGATGTATTAGTTATTAGAAATACTAATAATTGCCTGGAATTTGATATCTATAGGAAAAATACCACCACACGTAGATATATTCCTAATGAATCACATCATAGTGTTGAACATAAAATGGCTAGTTTCTATTTCTTAGTTCATAGATTACTTAGTTTCCCACTTTCCAACGAAAGATATGAAATAGAAAGAGATTACATTAGGAATGTAGCTGAGTGTAATGGATATTCTCCTTCCCTAGTTGATAAGTTAATTAGAAAACGTAGGTATAGGTTAATGATTTCTGAAAATTCGACTTTTCAAGTGGAGAAAGATACGTCTAAATATTTTTCAATACCGTTTGATAGAGAGTTATCCCGTGGTCTAAAAGGAATTTTTTAGAATGTCAATTATAAACTTGTGTATAGTGCTAATAATAAATTACAACAATTATTAGGTAATCCAAAGGATAAAACACCTCCACTGGAAAGGTAGGGTATTTATGAAATTTCTTGTAAAGATTGTAATCAGAAATATGTTGGGTAAACTAGAAGATCAATATTAACTAGATTTAAAGAACATTTAGCTCAGATAAGATATGGTAGACCGGATAAATCTTGCGTTGCCGAACATATTGTTGATAAAGAACATTGTATAGATCTTAATAATTTAAAATTAATTAAACAAGTCTCAAATTACAGGCAATTAGATGCATATGAAAGCATCAGAATTAATAAATGTAAAGATAGTATGAACAGAGACAACGGTCCAATTCCTTCAAGTTCCTTGTTCCTACTACTCTAGTAGCGGAAATCTAACTGTTACGCTCAGTGGGCTCTAACTCGGTTGGCTAGATTTTGCCACCCCCACTCGGTGTCCACTGAGCGAGTATATAAACACTCAACTTGTAGATTGTATTTTAGTTTATAATCATCTGCTGATGATGCTAACATGGTTAGCGAAACGCGCGTCCAGTGTAAAAGTAAAAGTGTTTTGGTGTATTGTGGTGATTTAGTGTTTTTATTTTGCTTAGAATAATCTTCATAATGGACTAGTTTTTGCCCATATGTAACAAGTAAAATAAGCTATAAAACAAATTAATCAATTAATTACTAAAATATTAATTATTAAACTAAAAATCTTTTAAAAATGATATAATAAATATATTGTTTGTCACTTTTACATTAAGATTCATCTCATAAATCCATCACAATCTGGCAGCACTGTCGCCATCGCTTGTCACTCAAAGTTGATCACGTGCATCGGAAATTGTTTTGCGATTACCTCCTCCAAAAAAATGGCGTCTAACAACACAAATTCTGCTTCAGCGTTACGTGTCTTTGTATTCTTTAGTCATTGTAATAAAATATGAAAAAAAAAAATGATAAATACACACCTGTTCTTCCTTGACAAAGATGGCCAAGCACTCTGCGATGTGATCGAATAATTGTTCCCCAGACCCGAGCATTATGTGTTGAGGAATGGCGAAAATTTTCGACTTCATTTCGAAGTGCTCTCCGCTCAGCTCGATGAGCAAAACCCTAAAGTTTGTACCGCCCAAGTCCAGGGCAAGGAATTTGCCATTTTCTATAGACAGGAAGGAACGAAGAAAGTTACAAATAGTTTCATTAAGTAAAAGAAAAAAAATATAGCTAAATGTCAACTAGGTGTACGTACAGCTTTCTTTAAGGTCAAGTAACAATTTATTCAGAATTCGATTGCACATATACGGAATTTCATGTGTTTTATAAGGTGTTAAATAAAATACCAAGTAAAGCAATAGTAATACAGGGTCTTTAAAAATACAAAAAATGTTTTGACAAGTTTACAATTATTTTCTTTGAATAAAAGGAGATAAACTAATAGGATTGCTCATCCCCATAAGACGCACGTTGGCCTCTTCCCGCGCTTCAGCAGACAGTTGTGACGTCATTGTAGTCCTTGTCACGATAGTCTGTATTATTGGTTGCCTATAGTAAACGTATAAAATTAACACCTGAGAAATTTTGAGTTAATTATTTAGTCGATTTTAAATATGAAAAAGTTTTTTTAAAGTTTTTAGAGTTATAGAATGTATAAAAACGTTCATTTTGTGCTGTAGATTGTGACTAAGTGCCTACGATATTGTTTATTAATTATTTTAAAGCAAAATATGGAAGTACTCTAAAAAGAATGCCTGCAGAAGGTGATGCTGGGAACTGCTGTTCTTAAAAATGCATTATATTGCATACATATAAGGTGTTTAAATAAATAAACTAAATAATGAATGTTTTGCATACGGCAACCAATAATACACACACTATCATGACAAGGACTACAATGACGTCACAAAGCGAGGAGTTGTCGCATGCACCTGGCAGACACTTTCGGCTGCATGAGCAGTTCTAATTTCTAATAGGTTAACTGTTCTTGAGGAAGGAGCATATTATCTAAAAACTTGCGCAATGGGGACCAAATATGGCCGACTTAAATTCCGGTTTAACAGTGCCGTTCTAATTTTATTCAGAACGTGTAAAAATATCATGTAGGGTAGACTCAATAATTTGTTGTATTATTTTACGCTGTCTATAAATGTTGGTATTTATTAAAATTGTTATAAAAATGTATAATTCTAATAAAAATAGATACAGTTATAATCATTAATTATTAACACAAGCTTCCGATACGCTACTGAGGCAGATAAGTCAAATTGACGTATCTATATTCTTTGACAAGTAGTAAATAAACGCAAAAATGCAAGAAAAAATATATAATTAGTTAATTTTAAGCGAATTTCATAAATGATCGGTTTACTACACGAATGTATATTATATAGTGACTTATTAGTGAAATGTTATTCCATTATTTCCCTCGATTTTTGACCGAGATCTACCGCAAGCTACACAACCAACTATTTGACAGTCTTTTTCGATAAATCGCATAGTTTCACTGTTAATTTAAGTTCTGCTACAAAAAAATCCTTCTAGATTTACCTCTAAACAACTATCAGTTGTAGAATAAATAAGTTCAGTAAAGACAGATAAATCCACAAAATTTTAAATCAAATTCAAATGTGTCAAATGAATCGTCAAACAGAACTGTCAAGGATCCCCACCTCTGTCTATCATGCATGTAATATGTTTATATTCAAAGCTTTGAATAAGAAGACTAAGGAAGACTTTGAATAAGAAGACACCGCGATGGGCCTCAAATATGGCCGACTTAAATACCGGTTTATCAGTGTCGTTCTAATTTTATTTAAAAAATCTAAAACTATGATGTAGGGTAGACGTGGGGTAGACTCAATCATTTGTTGTTTTATTTTATGTTGTGAGTAAATGTTGGTAGTTATTAAAATTGTTATAAAAATATATAATTCTAATAAAAATAGATAAGTTATAATAAGTATTTATTAACACAAACATCCGATACGCTACTGAAGCAGGTAAGTCAAATTAACGTATCTAAATTCTTTGACATCTAATCTTTGACAAGTAATAAATAAAAGCTAAAATGCAAGAAAAATATATAGTTTAGTTAATTTAAGTGAATTTCATAAATGATCGGTTTACTACAAGTATGTATATTATATAGTCACTTACTAGGCGAAAAGTTGTTTCATTATTTCACTCAATTTTTGCCGAGATCTACAGCACGCTACACAATCAACTATTTTAGAGTCTCTTTCAATAAATCGCGATAGTGCCACTGTTAATTTAAGTTCTGCCACAATTTCCATCTAGATTTACTACCTTTATACAACTATCAGTAGTAGAATAAATAATAAATAACATAAAATAAGCTCCGTAAAGACTGACAAATCCTCAAAATTTCAAATCAAATTCAAATGTGTCAAATGAATCGTCAAACAGAACTGTCAAGGATCCCCACCCTAGAGAGCTTTTATGGTGGCTTTTCCGCCCACCATGCATGAATACATGGATAGCATTATGCTCCTTCCTTAGTCTTCTTATTCAAAGATTCAAAGCTAATAAATATATTGCCCTGATGTGACGTCACGCAATCTTACATTATGTTGGTTACACAATTTTTTGAAAATAGACGTATCTAGGTGGTTTTATGGTCTAAGTTTTTTGTCTTACCTGTTCCGTCAGGTAAGTCTTGAACGTATGTGGGAAAACATTTGACTACTGCCTTATCGTGGGTGGCTTTTTGGAGTCCCCTGTTGACATTGTCCAGGAATATGGCTCCTATTTTCTTCAGGGTATCGTTGTCCAGGATAAGATCCCTGCATTTTTCCCTGATCTGTCAAAAAAAAAATAGTTAAATTAATATTAAGATGTATATAGGTAATAAAAACGTAATTAAAATCAATTGGGTAGATGCTGCTGGTTCGTTAGTCACCTTCAGAATTTATCTGGTCAATAATTTGGGTCATAGATCAGAGAAATCAGTTATCCTAGAGTTCCCAAAACTCTAAGAAGAAATTTTTGTGAAAAATAGAAAAAAATATTTTTTTACCGCGTTGAAAAAAGTTTCGGTATATTTTTCATCGATACTCGCGTGATCGCACGACTTCTATTTGCGATAATTACTATTGAATAAAGTGTGTTTACTCAAAAAATTCATTCAATTTAAATTAATGTGTCGATTTTTTTCTTTTGTTTGCACGTTAGTCTGTCTCCATTTCAATATTATAATCTCCTAGTTTGATGGATCAAGATTTTTATACACATAATTTATACAATACATTATAATTTTTTTTAGCGCGTTTGAAAGATTTTTTTAGATACGGCGGGGTTGCCGTTATGGGTTTCCGTTAAAAAAATCAAAAAGTGGGTATGCCTTTTATTTTACTTTAAGGTTTTTTCCTGTTTAAAAAAAAACGTTCAGCGTTTCCGAATGTTACGTTTGTGGGTTTGAGAACTTTTTAGGTGACTTGAGGTCGCCGCAAGGTCAGAAGTCCGCATTCGTTAGAACTTTTGCTATTTGCGAAATAAATATTACATAAAAAAATATTGATTTTTATTACCGTGCATGTATTAATTTCTACTGCATATACTGGGTGCGCCTCAAAAGTGGCTCACCCGCGGTAATTTTTTTATTTTTTCAGATAATAAAAATGAGATTTGGTATGTTAGTATATGACATAAATTAGGATTGATTGACGTATTCAATTGTTTTCGGTCACTTCCTGTTTCACCGGAAATGACTACAACTTTTGATTTTTAAATGGCACCCTCGGTATTTTTTTACTTTATTCGATAGAAAATGACATTCTCAATAGAATGACATATCACATGTCAATTTTTGACATTCTCGCTTAATAAAAAATCGTATTTTAAAATTCAATCTAGAGCGCCATGGCTATATATGTTAAAAACACTAATTCTTAATCAAGGAGCCTTGAAAAAAATAGTTTTGATCGTCTAATGTTTTTAGTTTTTAGTGCCTTGTCCTGGCCATTTAGAAAATGCTCAAATCGTATTTTTAATCATATCTCAATTTTTTCAAATGGAACGAGGGTGGCTCATTAGCATATTTGGAAAAAGCATTTTTTACGAATAATTTGATACCATACACTTCCTATTTCGAGTCAAATTTTCGTTATGAACCGCAAGTTATAATTTCAAATAAACCATATGCGAAAATGTCAAAAGTTGACATATGATATGTCATTCTATTCAGAGTGTCATTTTCTATCGAATAAAGTAAAAAAATACCGTCATTTCCGGTGAAACAGGAAGTGACCGAAAACAATCGAATACATCAGTCGATCCTAATTTATGTCATATACTAATATATACCAAACCTCGTTTTTTTATCTGAAATAATAAAAAAGTTATAGGGGTGAGCCGGTATTTTTAAAATACCGGTATTTTTTTCTGTTATAATATTTGTGTGTAATATACAGGGTGTATTGCCACAAATTTTATATTTTTAAAAGGAATAAACCTGCGGCACTAAAAAGCTCTGTCTTTTAATTTCTCTAAAAATGCCAAAAGAATGTAAAATGGCCGACAATTTTTTTTCATAAAAAAAACCTTATGTTGCACTTATTTAAGAACCTGTATTTTTTCTCTACCGACTGGATTTTTTTCTTTATAAATGTATCTATGTATTAAAATATACTACAAAATATGTTGTGGTCCTCTTCAGAAGGGCCAACTTGTTGAGGGTCTTTTCGGGTGTGGAATTAATGTACACTGTTGTTTTTTAATATAACTTAACTTTAATTATGATAAACTAATTACAATAGTTACCCTGAGGGAAACTGTGAAAAATAATAGCGTGTTGAAGAGTAAAAAGAGAGTTGAAGAGCAAAAGCAAAAGAGTGTTCAGCAAAAAGAAGTATGTGACTGAAACAGGGTTTTAGCAAAAGAGTTTGTGACTGAAACAGGGTTTTAGCAAAAGAGTTTGTGACTGAAACAGGGTTTTAGCAAAAGAGTTGTGAGGGCCTGTCTTGCAGTTCCTTAAATAATATCTAAGCTACAGAAATGCCAGAGGCGTACAGTACAATTTATATATCCTTAATCTAATATTCAGAGCAGTGGACGACACTGCCCTAAACTTACATTGTTCAGATAGACAGACGTCTGCGAAAGCTATATAAATTTATGATCAAAATTCCCAACAGTAATAGTTAAAGTTATCAATTTGGATTATATTGTAGGGTCGTTTATGACCTCAAAGGTATGAAGGTTTTTATTAGAGATGGGACATTCCTAAACTAATATTACAAATTTGATTAAAATGAGGACGGGATTATAACAAATAATTAAAACGCAATAATTAAATATTTATTATTCAGAAATTTAAAGGAATGTTAACTGGTAATTATAATATACTGTTTCTCTAAACCAGATAATATTATGTATATTACAGTAATTAGAGAAAATCGGTTTTAATTAGTTAAGTCTTGTAGAAAGACCCGATGACCTGTTAGATATATAATATAGAACAGAGTCCAAATATATACAGGGTGTCGCTGAAAAGTGTGAAAAATATTCCTGGAGCTAAAAAGAGCTGTTTTTTTTTTCTAACTAACTACTACAAACAACCTGGCTATTTTATAGTATTTATACAAAAACTATGGTGTATATTTATATTTTTTTACCCACTTCACCAAATCTATCTAGAACGACCTTTACCCAAGGCATTCAAAGTCACGGCGCGATATTTGGCGTCAGTATTCGCCAGATATTTCGAAAAATCTATAATTAATTTTAGATAAAAGATATCAGACTCAAATAGCAGTAATAAAAATTCAAATATATGGGAAATTGAGATATAACGTCGTCTACGTGAAAGGTAGAGCTTTTTTCGTATTAGAAATGTACAAAATGTATCGATATTTCAGAATATCGATACTAGAATTTCCGAGTTATCGATATTGTATTATAAGTATCAGCTGTATCAACATGTACTTTAAAACACCGGTAGTTTTACTTATTTCTCTGAGAATACATTTGAAAAAAAAAGGAAAAGGTATAAAAATATATCGATATTTTTTGGGGTAAGGAACATCTCTAATTTTGATAATTTTTCGAACAATTTTAAAATGGCAATGAGGAGACTTGTAAAACCTGTTTGAACGATAAAAGTGCATCAAAAATTTGCGGTTGCAGAAAATTAGTTGTTTTAGCGAAAAAAATGCAAGCCTGCTGAGTTTAGAGTATACCAGGAAAGTCTCAAAATAAAACGTAGAATTTTGGTAGATTATTATGAAGCCTATGACATACAAAAATATATTAAAAAAAAGTACTGTACGAAATAATATCTTTAAGCCAATAAAACAATTCTCGATAAAAATAGTTTTTTTTCAAAATATCCTCAAATTTAAAGGTAAAACAATCAGACAAGCACAAATAGAAAATTGGAAATGCTCTTGGCTTTATATTAGAGTGAACAAATATTTTTTTCAAACCTATATGCATATATTTTTTTAAACGTAATCGAATAAAACATCATTTTATCACTACTTATCAAGGTTAAACCTAATTTTAGCATCGACATTAGTCCGTTTTTCTCGGAAAAACCGGCATGAAAAACTGTAGCACATTTCACCTCCTGGTTTAACCTACAGCAAAAACCAGGCCGGAATAACCGATCTTACCATAGGATGAGCCTGCACATTCCTCTTATAACCCATTTCTAAGTCTTTTACCGCACTAAAATCACTCACTCGGGACTAAATCTGGTAAGTTTGGCGGCTGTACCGACGCGACAACACTAAATTTGTTTGATTTTGGGGCCAGGTAACAGCCAATTTTTTCCAGCGCCTACTAAACCCTTGAAACGATCGCTTGTAACGTGTATGTGACTGCGAGACACAAACTCATTCAATAAACTGTGGGGAGACAGCATTGGATGGCGAGAGGGGTGTGGTAGATAGAAAATGAGGGGGCCTCTCCATGCTATTGGTCGGGTTCAGAGGTGTGGCGCGCAAGCCTCTGAGGCCTAATATGTGATGTTACAGGCCGTAGTTAAGGGATTTGTGACGTCAGTTTGAAAAAAAAGGTCTAGAAAATTCGTAGGACATGGTTTAGTATGTCTGCGAACATTTATTTGAGATGAATCTACTAAAATACGTACTTTTCAACGTTGTAATTGTACTTGTCTGATTGTTTTACCTTTAAATCGGAATTCAAGAACCTGGAATGGCGGGTCTCTTCTCAATATACAGGGTGGTCCGAACTGTATTCCGGAAACTTCGAATTTGAAAAATTTTAATTGTTTTTGCGCCAAAAGTTCAACAGAACCTGTTTTATCATCATTTTTTCGAAGAAAAATTTATGATTAATTTAAAAAAAAATAAAAAGTTCAGAAATTTATCATTTCAGTCAAATAGCTATCTACTCAACATGTTTATTTTTAGCCAATAATGACATAGAGAGATACCGGAGACTGATACCGGAGATGGACAACTAACCTCTGTAAAACCGTCTCAGATACTGTTTTTTCTCAAAGCCCTGAGACTGTACGATGAGTCATAACTCAAAGAAGGGGGACACAACAGATCTGTATCTGTAATACATTCTACATGGTATGTATTTCTCCGTAACCATTTCACATGATTCTGGCCTGGAGTTGGAAGCATAGGCGCGACAATTTACGTAAAACCCCGTCACATTGCGCAAACGAACTTCATATGATGATAAATTTAAATTGTAGGTGGGTTTTTATATTTACACAAGCATATTATAATATTATCAATTAACGTATAAAGTATTTTTTTTTCTACATGATATCACAATAATTTTCAATAGTATGTCTATCAATCATTTTCATATTCTTGAAGAAAAAATCGATATTTTCATATGTTTATGTACCCTAGGCATTTCTTAGTAACCTACTTCCGAGCTTGTGGTAATAACCTCTGTGTAGTTCACGATAGAAAAAATTACGCAAACAAAACTCATTACTGTGTAATATTGATCGAGATACCTTATTGAAGCGATTGTTTTTGTTTGGATTCCCCAGGAAACCAAACAAGTGAATCATTAAATAAAGTGGGACCCATCCAGGGATGACTCGATGTTATTTGTTGGCATTTTAATATTATTCTTTTATTTTTATTATCTATCACCTGGCATTGCGTGTTGAAAATTATGAGAATTTTGATAACAATTGGACTTGATAATTATATTTTATTTATTTAATGTAGACAACTATGTCGTCGCATAATTTTATCTTCTTGTAAAATTCAATTTTGTAGTGTTTTGAGTGTTAAGAAAATGTTACACAAAATATCGAAATAACCTGATTTTACCTAAAACTTATTGTAAAACTTGGAAAATAAGTTGGTTATAATAATGGTTTTATAATTCGGAAACCCTCTATTTATTTATCTAGTAATGCTAAAACACTCGATTTGAAAGCCGATTAGAGAAAATAATATGATTCATTGGCAAATAATGTAAATATTTACGATCCGGTAAAATTGTGATGTAAGAGGAGGCTTAGCTTGCCGGAGGCGAGTCAGTAGTTGATAGGCCGGCCGGCTGTTGTGTTGTGTTTTGTCATAGAGCTGATATTTGAGGGTTGAAAGTCTTTTAACTATAAACGTTGCATGTACTGTAAGGCAACGGGTCGTTTGACCAGAAGAAAACCTCTTGTGACGTCTTGCCTTCGAGGTTGGTCTTGAGAGTTTCAGGTCTCCCTTGTCTTCTCGATTGACACGATGCGGCGTTGGGGTAGTGAGATCAGGCCTGAGTGAGGTACCCCAATTAGCCTATTCGATTGGGATGCGAATCTGTTTAGCGGCAGATTTACGTCCGGGGGAAGCCCCTATACTATTTCAGGTGACACTAGCTAGTTGTTGAAGATGATTAACCAATATATAACCGAATGATATTTGAATTAGATGGAAAATATGGAATGGGATATATTGAATAGAATATATCAGTGGCTAGGGGGCGGAGTACCTCCGGGTGAGTCTTACTATTTAACTATCAATTTTATCCAGATCAGTAAATGTTTGTTTTGTTATTTTCATGTACAATGAGAGAGTGCTTGCCAATGACCAACTAAATGGATATTTGAGGTGAATTTGCATTGTGAGACCCGGTTGAGTAAGCCCAAAAATAGCGATTTTATATTATAGTAAGTGCAGATATTTTCAGGGCTGGCAGATCTCGATAAAAGAAACATATTTTCCCTTTATCGTTTTTCAAATAAGTAAAAAATAACCGAGTTATTAAAGTTTGAAAATTAAAAAAAAATGACTTATGTATTTTTAAAAAAATTTTGAGAGCCACCTGATTTTATAAGCTGTAAATCGGCGGTTCTCAAAATGTCTGCATTATTTTTAAGTTTTCAAAGGTAAATTGAAAATAATATGTGTTATAATCCCGTCCTCATTTTAATCAAATTTGTAATATTAGTTTAGGAATGTCCCATCTCTAATAAAAACCTTCATACCTTTGAGGTAATAAACGACCCTACAATATAATTCTAATTGATAACTTTAACTATTACTGTTGGGAATTTTGATCATAAATTTATATAGCTTTCGCAGACGTCTGTCTATCTGAACAATGTAAGTTTAGGGCAGTGTCGTCCACTGCTCGGAATATTAGATTAAGGATATAAAAATTGTACTGTACGCCTCTGGCATTTCTGTAGCTTAGATATTATTTAAGCAACTGCAAGACAGGCCCTCACAACTCTTTTTGCTAAAACCCTGTTTCAGTCACATACTTCTTTTTGCTGAACACTCCTTTGCTTTTGCTCTTCAACTCTCTTTTTACTCTTCAACACGTTATTATTTTTCACAGTTTCCCTCAGAGTAACTATTGTAATTAGTTTATCATAATTAAAGTTAAGTTATATTAAAAAACAACAGTGTACATTAATTCCACACCCGAAAAGACCCTCAACAAGTTGGCCCTTCTGAAGAGGACCACAACATATGTTTCTTTTGTGTATAATAGATCTAATATAGTAGATTATTTAGTAATAAAACCATTTTATTGTACATAAATTGGTGTTTTTAGGCACAGTACTTAATTATTGCAATAATGTTAATCAAAATATATGAGCTTATTATTGTTTACATAACGATTTAAAGCATGCTTAAAACAAATCCCTTCCTATTAAGATAAGAAAAATGGAGTTACTTTAAAAAAATTAGGTTTATCCACATGTCAAAAATTTAAATCCATACATTAATGTCATTAATCCTTTCAAGGGTTACTAAAAAAAAATATGTATGTGTAGGTATCTGGTATCTCGTTAAAATTTAAAAATTATCAGTTTCTTACACACAATTCTAAAAAAGTAAAATAAATGCCTCTCTGTAACTCTAAAGACAGCTTTTTTTTTAAATGTTATACAGGGTGGAAAATAGTAGTTTGTATTGAAATTAAATTTTGGGGGCATATGTAGGTTAATTTAGAGCATTTTTAAAAAATATACCTATATATGTATTTCTATACAGGTCGTATTTTTTGGAAGGGAACACCCTATGTATTTATTGAATTTCAGATTCTAGAATAAAAATAAAAGTGAGTTTCATTAGAGAAGCATATGACTAAGATGTAAGATTTTTGACATATTTAACATTTTCTAAAAATGAAAAATAAATTTTAAATTTCAATAAAAGCTACCTAAATTGTAATTTACCCTGTAGAGTCGGATATTTAGTTAAAATATCAACTGCATGTTAAACCAAATTAAAATCTGACCCGAAAAGTTATACGGGGTGAGACAAAATTAATATTGAACATCGGTCACATTTAAAAGCAATAAGTTACTTTTTATTTTAAAAGAAACACCCACTATATTATTCAGATATTCAATGGATAATTCATATATGGTTTTAAAACTATTAAGCTTACCTACCCTTTAAACCAAGATTTTCCTAGTTATTTTTTTTTATGTATTGTCAGTAGATTTTTATTGCTATGTGGCTAAATTACTTATGAAACATCCTGTAGGTATATTATAAAAAAAATATTAAATTAATATTACAAAAGTAACCAGTATAAGACCAGATTTAGAAAAAAAACTTTTACCTTATCGGAACTATCCATTTTATTTTTCTAAAAAAATAAAATTGAAAAAAAAAATCTATAGAGTCCGCACACTACAATTTTTCAGAATAGACTAATATCTGGCGGTTTTGCACTAAATTAATCTCAACTATACACAGACTAAAATTTTATCCCCACTCCCGTACAATTGCACACAATAAAAATATTATTATTATTACACTCCAACATTTGTTATTATACAACAATATATTGTTTATTGCATAGGTAAATTATCACTCCAAACCCCACGATTTCCTTGATATGCGTTAACAATAAAAAAAATTGTTTAGAAAATTATTCATAAAAATATTAATAATAATGCTATGCAGTAAAATCCAATTGGTTTGTGGCGTCTCAATAAAAATCCACTTTGGTTTACTGCCACTGTGTTTTTTTCTGGGAACTACCATGTAAATTACCCATTTTTTACATAATCAAATAGAAGTGACACATATGTATGCACCGAATCTTTAGAGAAATAAGTAAACATAGATAATATATCAACAACAAAATTCAACGAGTCGGGGAAGATTTCAACAGAAGACAATGACAGAAAATATAATTTACCTCTGAACAAAAAAGACAGACATAACTGTCACTGTCACGAATGCTCTCGATTATACAGGGTGAGTCTTGAATAACTGCAAATATTGAGTGGTATATTTCGACATTTTCTTGTATATTTTATAAAACTTTTATTTAAAAAAAAGATATAGTCTATAAAATGAATAACTTTGAATTTTGACCGTTATTTTTTGCCAACATGGCAAATATAAAATCCCTCTGTCAAAAAAGTTACTGATATTCTTTAAATTGAGTGCCTGAACTAGCCTGAACGAATCA